TATACTAAAAACAGAAAAGCTAGTTATTTTCATGTTAGTTTTTTGGGCTTCAAACGTCTATTGGATATGTTTGTGAACACATATCCTGATAGCTTCAGTAATATGCAACAGATGAACTGGTACACCATGTGGTAAAATTTGATGAAATATGTTGGATAACCTTAAAAGCTTCATTCAAGTTAACTTGATGTCCTATGCCCACCAAATGAGTGAGAACAGAAGCCTTAATCATTCTTATATGTTCTTTGGTTAACAAAGACGAATGGTGATCTGCTATGCGATGATGAACTTGCTGAATTGTACGCCCTATATAACTGGCTCCACATAAGCAGTTGAATTTGTAAAGACTCATGAATGTGCTGAATTTAAGCAGTCTGTCCTTATTGATGGTTTCTATTATCAGGCAGTTGTAGAAAATCACATTTAGTTTGGTTGCATGAAATGTTTTCTGCACCGTGTTTCTAAACCAGTGAGTTGCAATTTCCTAGATAGAGACATCAATGGATTGGAATTTTACGAACAGTACTATCTTAGGAACCGACGGTACATTCGGTTTTCTTTTCATTTCCTTTATGCGTTTGTTGATGAATTTCTTATTCTATAGATGTCTTTGAGACTTACATCTTACAAATGTAAATGTTGTTTTATAAATATGTGAGTAAAACTATATGTCAACCATTTTTGAACTTTATGAATTTCACCTGTGTTCACACTTGACCTGAGATTATTCTGCATTACTCCTACCAACATTAATGATCGATTCGTACCTTAATTTTATTTGACAAATAAGTTTAAACTTGTATCGAAAAACTATGATAATTCAGTATTTAGCTTAATTAATGGTTAGTTTTTAAAACATTTATCACTCTGAAAAATAGTAGTCACCAAAAAATAATACAACCATGGAAAATTTCAGATATTCATGTCTCGAACCAAAAAGTATGATTTCCTTCAGCCTCTATGATGTTAAACATAGAGAAAAACTTTTAACAGACGATATTCAGAGTGATCGTGTTTGTAATATCTATTGTTAAACATAGTAATGGAGTTTTGTTCTCTGAGCTGGATGTTTTAGCCGATCATCCACCTGAGCTACAAATCCCCATCATTATTAAACATCTTCATTTGTAAATAATGTACATCCAGGTGACGAGTCGCAAACAGTACAAAACGCGCGTCATGGATTTCACTGCTAGACTCCATCTATCTTTGCTAACAAATAATGAATACTTTTGTCATTTTATATACTTGATTTTTAATATTGTTATCATTACATCAAACATTATTTTAATTTTCTGTTCTATTGACCTTACTTCGGAAAGTCTATGTGAATTGTGTTATATTGGAACTGAAAAACAACAATACAGATTAGTTTTTTTCTTTGCATCTATTTTTCAATAGAACTTAGCTTGAAATTAATATTACATGTTTGGTTTAACCTACTTTTGATTTAATCTATATTTTCTAGCTATTTACACGTGTAATATAATCCAAAATATAGTGACTTCATAGAGAAGAATAGACGTTTACATCCAATTGAATTTGAGTTTTATTGCTAGATAGGTTTACCTGGAAACTTAAGAGCTATTGTTAGTTCATATTTTTAGTCTTAAACAATGCATATTCACAAGTCTAAGTCCCATGATGACCGCGGTACATTTAGAGTACTATTTTTGACTAAAGTCAATGATTTTTAATTCCAAATACAGGCAATTCGTAATATACTATAGTCATCATTCAATGCCATTAATAATAAAAACCACACTTTCAACATAGTTGACTCGACAAAATACGACTTATTACTAGAATATAAGGCAATTTATTTTGATACTATTCACACACATAATAACTGCTCACTTTATTTCATGAAGCAATTAAAGTTAATAATGTAGATCGTCTGGTTTACCCTTGATGGAATAAATTTATCTTAGTCCACAAAAAACCTAAAGTTCATCCCCATGTAAGGTTATGGGTTTTCATTTCTTAGTAGTTGGAAGTAAGTTTGGAATACTGTGTAAAAGCTAGCAGTGGAAATATCATTTTAGATAACTATATCTACATGGTAAAATTATTAATACCCTAATGTTTAAAGACATTCTTACTGGAAAAAATAAAGCCATACATTAATTCATTTAAATAATTATCCACATAAATCTCCGAAATATATATTGAGTTTTAAACTTTGTATATGATAAGTCTTGCTAATCTAACGCTATATTCGGTTCCCAAGCTAGAACTACACAGCGACCTAAACACGAGAGGGAAGGCCCAAAATATGCGAGATGCATTTTACTCCAAAGGTCCATCCTAGTATAGAAAATATAGGGTTTTTATAGTATTTTAGATGTCCTTGGGTTTTCTGAAGATTCTGGAATGTTACTAAACATAGTAGCATTATAGTAATCAGCCAAATAGAAACTCTACACATAACTTTTCGCTTTCTTGATGTTTCTGGCTAAACTTCAAGTGAACGCTAATTGGATAAAACGGCTCTTAGTGTTTTCCCGACCCTTTCGTGTCTTTTGCGAGTTTTCTGGATCACCACAACAGTATAGTATAAATTTACTCCTACATTTCAAAATATATTCTCCAATCTTAAGTGAAGTTGGATTGAAGCTAGCTGTGAAATTCAGAACACGCGTTTCGTCCAATTCAAGATTCGCCAGCTGAATGTACCAGTTTGTTGTGTACACTGAGAACAGAACCCGGAACCTGAAGCTTGAAATCTTAATTTTTATACACTATGTTAATGTTTCTGGGTACATCTAACTAAGGAGTCCCAAATAAGATAAAGCGTACGACTTAAATTTCACAACTGGCCACAATCCGACTTTACCATACCAATAAAAACTAATTTATTGCACTCCCTAGTATCAGCAACGAGACCTAAAACTTTCCAAATATAATATATACTCTTTTCTACTACAATAAATATTACAATTACTTAGATCACTTTGCTCAGAACTTATTTATTTCACGTCACTTGATAGTGAAATATAACAAATTGAATTGTAACTAATTTATACGTCATATCTAGTGTAACAAATGAATTTTATTTACTTAATTTTGACTGTATTATGATGATGAAACATTGAAATTTATTGACAAATGAGAACTATAGGCATTAGGCTACTTCAGTTTGTAGAATGGATCAATATTTTTAGTAATGAATTCATAAAACAAAACTGTGTACGTCAGGGTATTAGACATGTACTGAAGTGTTATCGCAACCCTATTGATCAGTTTCGTTTATTTCAAGACGACTAATACTGAGTCTCTCTATATATTTTACTGCACACAAAATTAGTTGCTTATCCAGTGTAACACAACTGAAATTTTGCTACTAAAGGCCTTATTCTCATTTAGCACACAATTATTGAGATGTAATTTCATTAATTATAGGTTATCATTGAAAAACACTATGGCATCTAACACAGTTGTTACCTAAATCTCTTCCTTCGGAAAAAAATTCCGTGATCATTCCAGCTACTAAAAATTGAAAATGCTAATTTAGATGACCTTTCTAAGGACACTATATGCATGTATTACGTCAAATTGTTATTCATCTCATGCATACATACCATACATTATGTAGAATTTAATGTTATTATTTCTATGTACATATATATTAAGATAAAAAAAACAAATTACTAACATACAGATGATTTGTTCTTCATGTATAACTAGAATAGATTTGTTATTAAAAAAATTCTTAATTGATAGGAAAACATTTTTCGAAATACATGATGGTGGATTTGACAGAAATATACTCAAGTATCTGAAAGCTATTTTATTAGTTTTAAAAGTTTGTATTTTTTAATTGTAGAGACAGCCTTCAAGTAATAGCACGATATACTGCTTAAAGAGCAAAGACTGGTTAAGTTCAACACTGAGTATAATATCAAAGGTAAAATGAAATACAACAATACACATCGAAGAATTTTATGGTTATTATGACTCACTAGACTTGTGAAAAAATTTCCAAGTGTTGCTGAACAGGACGAAGGATTCAGTAGATATCCAGCTTCGAGATCAACAGACAGGGCCAGTCGTGCACAGACCAAGTCGCGACACTACGGATCATCGTTAAACAATCAATTGAATGGAACTCGTCACTATACACATCAACTCCGTTTATTATGAGAAAACGTTTGACAGCCTAGGTAGGAGAATCTTATGAAACCTTCTACGACACTATGGTGTACCTGACAAAATCATCAACATCATCCGGAATTCATAAGACGGACTACACGGAAAAGTCGTGTATAGAGGACAGTTGACAGAAGCATTCCAAGTGAGAACGGGTGTCAGACAAAGCTATCAACTCTCCCCCTTCCTCTTTCCTCAGACGATTGACTGAATTATGAAGACCTCAACATCTGAGAGGAAGCACGGAGTACAATGGAAAGCTTGGATACAACTGGACTGCAGCCGTCTTTACATCAGTACACAAGGAAAAAAAAGAAATCCATAAATGTAACACGGAGAACACGAACCCATTCTCACTTGAAGGAGAAACTCTGAAAGAGGTGGTAACTTCCACGTATCTGTGCAGTATCACCGATGAACAAGGAGGATCCGATGCAGACGTAAAGTCAAGGATTGGCAAAGCAAGAGCAGCAGGTCTACAGTTGAACAACATATGGAACTCGAAACAATTGTCAACAAACACCAATGTGAGAATCTTCAATACGAACGTCAAGACAGATCTATTGTACGGAGCTGCAACTTGGAGAACTACTGATCAAAGAATGTTTGTAGATAAAGAACAATGACAGTTAACAACACTGATGATAAACTTGTCTTTTTTAAACATTGACAATAGTAGCATAGTAGTAGCATAGGATAACAAAAGCGAAATCTATTGTATAGTCATGATAAGCAAGCATCAATTGAAGAAAACTATTCTGGTTTCTATTGTTAGCCAGTAATTATAATTTTTAACTAAAAATTTCATGACAATACACCTAGGTGTAGCATTGATGAATAATAATGAAAGTCTCGCAATTATAATTTATTCAGTTCAGCAAAGAACACAATACACTTGAATGCATCTATCTGGAGTTGGAAAAGTTACATTGTTACCACTAAATTATATATTATAGTAAAATAAAACTAGTTCATAGTATACTACTTATTTTATTTCATCATAAAGTAATAAATATTTGAAAGATAAATAGATAAAAATTATCTATAAAAGTAATAAATAAATCGAACGAACATTTTAAAACAAATTGTTAATTGTCAATCAACATTGTAATAATTGATTTGTCTAAGCAATTACACACATCATTATCATTAACATGTTACAAAATCTATTGAAATGGAAAGAGTAAAACAGTTAATAGTCATCATGACAATAATCAAAAATCATTATGCTCTTTTAAACAAATACACACATCATATATGACTCAGTTTGTATCTGTACATAATTAGATTTAGATTGAATATGCATATTTCTCTCTCTCTCTCTCTCTCTCGCTATATATGTATATTTGGGATAACGAATTACAAGCCACTTATAATAATATCAACGGGAAATATACATAATTAATTTGTGTCATTATTGCTTTACTCAGTTTTAAATGATCGAAAAACCGAAAGTTAGCCAACTATGAAAAGAAAAAGTAGGATAATCATAAACTACTACGAGTAATTTTAATTGTTTATTTTATTTAAATTCAACTCATTTTTGCACAAGTAATTAAATTAAATAGTCATGTGAGTATGAGCACAATTGCATAGACATACATACACACAAATAAGAGAATAGATTATAGTTGTGTTTTTGTTTAAAATAACAAACACACCAATAATTCACTATTAGTTTCAAGAACAATAAAAATAATGTTGATGATTTTACTGTTTACTAAAAAGGGTGAAAAACACAAACATATGAAGTCAGCCATGTAATGTTATAGATGCATCATAACTTCAAAGTTGAAAAAGATTCCAAGAAGAAGAAGAAAAAAGTTTTGTTGCACTTTTTTCATTTCAATGTAATAAACACTTCTTTTTTTTAAACAAAAAATTGTCAGTGAATATTAGTATAGTACTAGGATTGTTGAGATTATTTCCAATTTTACAAAGTACAAGGAAATATATAAAAAGTGGCAAACACGTAAAAAGAGATTGATTTTGTATTCATTGTAAACAAAATATGATAAATGAAAAAGGAAAGCACACAGAATGAGGACATAACGGAGACAGAACAACACCGAAAAAAGTGAGAACCTCTGTGAAAAGAAAAAAGGGAATGATTGATGAATTAAACAAAAAATAATGATCCGAATTCACGTTCCCAAACAGCTTGACTTGATTTATTTAATTTCTTCGATAATTTTATACCACTACTACCGTCGCCAGTGCGATTACCACCGCCAACAGGTGAATTAATATTGGCATTGAATTGCTCAGAATTGAGTTTGTTATTGGCTGTATCACTGACAGATGAAGGACTGAAATTTTCACGCCCTTGTATTTTTTTTGGACCATTCGCAATAGGTGGAGACATATCATGTATATAGAAGTCATAAGATGATATATCATCAAATACTTCAGCCATATGTGCACGTACTGAATGTGCCTAATATAGTGAACAACAACAGATAAGACATATATATTAACACTAAAATGTACTTATGATAAACGAAAATGGATATTTTCTTGACAGACTGACGTCAATTGAATAATTATTTGAAACTGTACATCACTGAACGTGTTCTCTTTGGTTTAGTTTTTGGATTTCCCAGTAACACGTTCTACTCACGGGATACATCAATCTCATGACCTATGATTTATTCGGTGGATATACTATATTTTAAACATAATTGCAATTCACATATATCACCTAATTATCCCTGATTTTCGTTGGTTCTCTCTTCGGCAATAATTCTAACAAGCTAATAAATTAAAGATCTTTAATAGAAATATTTTTTTGAAATTCAATGCAGATTACAAATTGGCTGTTTGGTTTTAATTCTGAATCTAACATAAGACATTGTGCACAAACTAAACAGTGGTAGTTTACTCACAGCAAGAATCAAAATTAATGAGGCTTTGATTTTGATAGGAAAACGTTTTTATAGAAGAAATTTTTCCAACGATATTGACAATGAACTAATGCTGGTCGTGTAGCGCATTCAATTTCTATTCTCAATTGTTAGATTATTTCGAATTCACTTTTGTATTTAGCTGGGTGCTATTGGTTATTTGAATGTCAATCCATCTATCCTGTGTGTGCAAACCGAGGTACGGCATTCACATTTTCCTTAGTTTACCGAAATCATACACGCTTTAGACTGAACGCTTTGAACAATAATATCAACAGCGTAGCTACTGCCTAAACACAAATTTGCTAAGCGTTAAATAATGAGTTTCTGAAGCCGGAAAGCTATTCATTAAAAAATGTATGCGTAAGTATTTTCAATGTATATACGGGGTGATATCCCCTTTAATCTTGAGATTTTTGCAGATATGTATAAAGAAAAAAGTACAAAATTCACTTTTTCACGTTGTTGAGCACAGATTTCATTGAATTCAGTTGAATTAAAACATCCACCTAATAATCGATCTTCTTCGACAAATTTCGGTGGTTTTTGAATTTCTTCTCCTTCACCTATGTATATAAATGAATAAATAAGTAGAATTTGTGAAAAAAACATGAAATAAAAAGTGTGATAAGACTACACAAATGACAGTAGACATTTCAACATTTATTTGGTAATTACAGTATGGCCAGGTAATATCAGTCATAGTTGTAAGAAGTATGAACTATTACTCTATAATCGTATTTCCTTCTACATAGAAAAACAATTAGTCGATGAAAGAAAATTTTATAAAGTCATATCCAAATTACGAGGTTACATATGACATCATTTAGGTATAGCAGCATTTATGCAAACGATGAAATTATTCAGGAAAGTCAGTCAATCAGTTATAATCAACTGCATCACTACAACTGATTCTAGGTTATAAACAGGTATATACATATGTGCATGCCTGGCAGCTGAAAGACTACCTCTAGACAACTATCAATATTCATAGTCATTCTCACTTATGAAGCGATCTTGCAAAGACTACTACTACTACTGTGGTGTGCTACTTATATTGACATAAGTAGCATATGACGTTACTCGTGAACAGAAGGCCTGGCAGCAGAGAGACAAGAGGATCGGACAGTAGAGAATGGAAACAGAATGAAATTTGCATGGAAACGCAAGAACAATGAAGTCTGAGTCATTTTGAGACGATCGATGGACATTTTGCAAATTAAGAATTTACTTTATGATTGTAAGATTTTATTAACAAGTCCTGTAATTTTGTATTAAATACATTCGATTGTCCCCACGGGTGTTCTGCTCACTACACTACTAGTACTACCACCCTGTTTTACGTTCCATCGAGTAATGTTTATGTTAATCATGATAGGGAAAGGAAACGCTAATATCCTTATGAAATGAAAACATTTGTTAATTATTCAATAAAATACCCGACACGCTTTATGTCTCGCTATGCAAAAAAAAGTATATTTACACGGTGCAAGTGAAATTGTCTTGTTCAAGGAAAAAGAGAGAAATTTAGAAAACAATTAGGATTAATGCCAATTAAGGAATTTCTTTATTTCATATTATATTTTAAATATTCCGGTTAAATTAAAAATATTAATCTTCAGACCGCGATATTACTTGATTTTAGAAACCAGTGAAATTTACAGGATGCAAATAAGAACACGAAAACTAGTGTAGATTTATTCCACCGTGCAAAATACACGAATTGTTGTGAAGGCAGCTAAATGATGCTGGCATCTTGATCCCGTGAATCGCATGACACAAATAATAACGCGAAGATAATAGATAAGGATTTATTTGACATCGAAAATAAATCAAAACCAATGTCTGAATACATCGATTTCGTATGATTTACATTGATTAACAGTGAATTTTGTATATATTAAACTGAGTATTATCAGACATTAATTTGTCAATAATGAATATTTAAAATTAACCACCTATGACCAACAGATATATCTAATATAATCACACTATCTTATAATGTGATTTCACATTATACACGATTGGAAAAAACCCGAATGAGTATGTCATTTGAGCCGTCATCAATTAACATTCTTGCTCATCATATAAATGAATAATATATGTGCTAGTGTAAACGGTAGTGTTTGATTGGACCAATATTGAAATGACAGAATAATAGTAAAGCAATAAATATATTTAGATATTTTTTTCATGGACATTCACGTAAATATTGAAGAAGTTACATGTAATCAACTGATATAATTAAAATTAATAAAACAACAGTGATGACGACTTGTTAATGTAGAAGCTGCTAGCTTGACGTGGTGGTCGGGCTTGCCTATCGTGATGACCCAACCGAGCTATATTGGCTGGAACATATGTTCCTGTAGGTTCTACCATGCCAGGCAGGTCGATTGGAGAACGGTAAGAATAAAGGCAGCAACTCAAGGTCTGAGGGCGAAGTCGTACTGCTGACTGTAGAGGGGTGTGACAGCAGTACGGTGTTTCCCTCGGACAACCAGCATCTGCAGCGATGCTGCCACAAGGAAGGGTGGGGTTGGAAAAGGTCGACCCTAAAAATGTCACACCTCACCTCACCTCACGGATTTCCGTCTCCGGCGGTAAGGCCCTTTGAAGAACGGAGCTAACACATTAAAAACCTTCCACGAAAAGGCCGTGCGCGACCGGTCTCAAGCAGTTGTCTCTTGGACTCTGAGGTCACGCTCCCAGGTAGAGTTAAGACCAACACTAATCCAATTTCCTTTTCAGGTTCCTCAAGAAACACCCTTCCACGGTGTGGGCAGCCGGGAAGTGACATCAGCCCTCATACCCGTAACAGCACATGAGACCAAGTTGGTCACATACAAATCCTTCCTACACCTTCTAATACCTCTCTTATCTCCATGACTAACCCTCCGCACGTCTCTTTATCACCTCGCACCGCTAGGGCAAACGATTCGAGTTCGCGGAACGCTGTATCAACATAACAGAGAAAATAATTTCCAAACTTTTTGTAAATACGCAATTGATGCAAGTAGTCAGATAATAGTATGAGATTCAAAAACAAAAAGGGGAAAATCTAAGACCGGTATGGTTGATAAAGTATTTGATTGAGTGACGATTGAATGATCAATTGATAAAATGGGTCGAATGAATGATTTAGAATCCTCGTGAAATAATCGTCGAAAAAGTGAACTCTCATTTCAATGAATATTAATGTTTTAAGGAACTAAAGCTATGAGGAAGACTGAATAACAATTAGTTACTAATAATAGAGTGGTTGGTTAATAAAGAATAAAAACCTATAAAACAATCGGTAGAGATTTACATCGCATTAGCAAGGAACCGTAAAATGATCAAGATTTGGATAAAGGCAATTTAATAGTAGAGAGAAATTTGTAACTTGGGTAGATGGATTCAGTAAAGCTGCATCTCATAAGCTCGATGGTTTAATTTATGGAGATTTCTAGTTCACTCTTGAAAATATTACCATTAACCGTATGGCTTCCTTAAGATTATAAGTTTTGAAATTATATCATACTCTTTATTTTACCGACTTACAAAAAATCAAAAGAGAAATAGCCTCGTTCATCATTAATTTAATAGATATTAACTGAGAATTCAAAAACTAACTCTTACCATACTTAATTAAACGGAAGATATTTTAATAAGATCTTATTTTAATTAATTACGTTTAGTGAAACTTACCTTTAAAAAACACATCTAGACAAGTCGGAAAAATTTAAATAATTAATTACAGAAAACAAATGAATGTGAGTTAATGGGCGAGAGAGTTTAAAGTAAATAATAGACAATAGACTATCAAGCCAAATCACCGCATAACAAAATAATAGAGGTTAATTAGGAATGAAACTAGTTGACTGATTCTTGCATCTCAAACACTAAATGAATACACACGTTTTGAAAGTAAGTTCATAAACTTGCCTAAATTCTCCCTCGTGATTATTTTCAGACTAAAGTAGTATAGAAGTTTAACGGAAATTACTTAATCTGATGAATGGATAAAATCAATTGTTGGTATAATATTCCCTTGCCAGATCCAAAACCAATTATTTAATGGATCCTATTACACGATGATAATAATCTGTAGAATTATAGCTACTTTCGTTAGTTGGTTTTCCTAACATACTAGTGATAACTGAAATTGTCTCATTAGATTATCAATTAAAAATAGCAATGAAATATTAAGCGTTTTAAATTTCGTCATAATTTTAACAAATCATCTATTTCCACATGATATACAATAATGTAACAGTTCGTTATCTGACCTTCCATACAAGTTAACAGTCAGTAATAATGAGCATTATCGCACTGAAGAGGACTGAATTTTGATAATGTACAGGAACAGGAGACGCTGGAGGTGGGTAGGGCAACATTATGAAAATTATTAAACTGCATCACGAGGCAAACCCTCACTTGAGATCCTGAAGGCAGAAGGAAAAGGGGCCGATCAAAGAACACATTGCTCCGAGAATTGAAAGCAGACATTAAAAATGGATATTACTTAGAATAAGTTAAGAAGGAGAGCCCAGGACAGAGTTCCTTGGAGAATCCTAGTCAGAGGAAAATGCTCCACGAGGAGTAACAGGCGTGAGTAGGCAAGGCATATCTGCATGAAGAATCCTAAATAGGATTCAACTGCTAATAACTTAGGATCTTCAAGATTATGCGGACCTATCTACCAAAGATGAGCGTATGCTAACAAAGAACAGTCAAAACATTTAGCTCTGAATATTAGCAACAAGATGTAATACAAGCCCTTGTAAATACTTTTATATAGTATGTTTAAAATAAAAATATAGAGATTAAGTCCCAACCATCTCGAAGTTGAAATCAATATACCGATTTCAATGTTTCAGTTTTCGATATATGGTTTGATTTAGACTAACATTGGAACTGCTTTTAACTAAACAGCCTAAGAAAGGTAGTTCGCTACGTTCATCTTTTTTTGAAAGTGAATTTGATGTGTTATGTGAGTATGTTTATGTGTTTGGAGAAATTTCTAAGTCATTTTAATAGTGATAAATGTTTCATCTATGTATCATCTGAGCCAGATGCGTGGTCTGATTGTGCCAGCACCTCGACGTTCGTTAATATTAAAAAAACTGAACATCTCACAAAAAAATTATTGAAGATTGTAAGTTTAGAGTTCCGTACCCCTTCGATAATGAATTTACTCCTAAATTAAGATCAATTTTCTTATAAATCTATTTTCAATGCGTCCATAGAAAATATTAAGAAACTTTATTTCACTTTCATTTCTAATTTTTCATGCGCAAAAGATTTCACAAAGTACATCATACTAGTATGCTGTTTATTCATTTCCTAAAGTATTAAAGGTTATCAGAACTGATCTGTAAAACTGAACTAACATATTTTATTTACAGATTTAAATCTTCAAATAGTTTAAAACGAGGTACTATTAAGAAAGATAGTAGTATATTCGGTAGTTTAACAGATACGTCTCAGTTATCTTAAAACAATCTTATCAAGCCATGATCACTACTATGGATATTAACATATCAACATTTTTTCATTGAATTTCGTTCAAGTTAGAAAACTTTATACTCTGCCTAATTTCATCTCACAATTGTTCTTTGAAACTAATTGTCCCTTCTAAAAAACAGTTAGGTTATTTGTATTCTAGGTTAATATACAAAGTATGTAATCAATAATACTAAATATACAATTAAAACATTAAAAGGTCTTTTACAAGAACCTTCATATTTCTTAGTTTGCGTCTATTGTTGAAGGGTCAACGTATTACCGTCGACATGCCATCTAATAATAACAGTATTATATATGAACTTAATATTAATATTACCATTTGTAACCTGTTATAAGTAAAACATGTAATATAAAAATTTAGAAAACTTCAGACAGTTTACAGGTTTGAAATTTGTTTTACGGTGTTGCGATCCAAGATTGCAAATGGTCAGTCTCTGTTAACACAAGAAAATTGTAAGACGTTTGAAGCTAAAATAAATTGGGCTGGAATTCTAGTACGAATATCAATATTGTGATGTGTGTAGAGTTGCATATAGAGTACGAAATGGGTGTCCTTGATTGAATGGACAACCGAAATTGGAGGGACTACAATTTATGGACGAACCAATGAAACTGAAGATAGCCAATCTTGGATCTCGCCACGAAGCTCATTAATCCATGTGGTTAAATAGCAATTTGACATTATAACTAATGTTTACTCGTGATGAAAACCAAAACTTTGCTTCTTAGTACTAACTTCTAACTTCGATCTTAGCAAGTAGGTAAGTTTTCTTAAGGTCACTTTGGGAGTCACAAAGGGGTGTCCGTAAGTTATAGTTTCACCCTGAAATCCAAATCTACCAAAAAGTCATATTGTTAAGTGTAATTGTAAAGCTGGTTAATGTGTCCTTCATTTCCACAATTGCACTCAACATATATTACAAATTCCACCTGTTTATAAACATTTACATTCCAATAATTCAAAATACATAATTAATTTAACCAGCTTATATACCATACACAGACAGGCACCTTATATATATATATATATATATATATATATATATATATATATATATATATATATATATATATATATATATATATATATATATATATATATATATATATATATATATATATAAACACAATGTAACTAGTTGACTTACAATAAATGTATACACAACAAATGTAAATGTATGGATATAACTAAGTATGTTTATAGAGATCACTCTATTTCTTTCTTATGTGTACAAATGGATATGATCTAATTACTAATTGGTTGAAAAATACTTTACTCATTCAATCAGTCATTATTTCATTAGTATACAAATATGTATGCATGGTAAAATCTAATTATGTAAAAATGAATATACATACATATGAATGTATCTCTTCCTATGAGTAGAACAGTATTATAAACATTGTTCGCCTAGTAATTACCATCAGTAGTCAGATTGTGTAAGTTTAAATCCAAAATTAAAATACGGAAAAGAAATATAGTTCTACAAAATATATTTAAACATCAACTTCTTGCCAGTTTCTTCTTCATGCAGTTTCATAATCATTTCTTTTTTGTTTATAAACCAAGTTTTATGTTTATACAAAGAATTTTAAATTTAATTTTCACTAAAAATTGGCATCAGGTAGAGAGAGTACCAATAAATAATGTGTGCAGTTAAGAAATACCAGAAGTTAAACAATAACTTAAACACGAAATAAAAATTATGCTACAAAACAATCGAATACATTTAATGACTTATCCAGTAATATATATATAAATGAGATAAAGTCATTCTCGCTCAAAAACACATAATCTAACTGAAATTGGATAACTGATGTGCGCTAAATGGATCACACGACCCAATTGTTCGATCCAACAAACACACAAACTGAGACTATAAAAAAGCTTAACAAATTTTAGAGTACTTTCGTTATATTTTATGTTTATTGAGTCTAATCCCATATTATTTCATTTTGTTTTTAAATGCAAAATGATTATAGAGTGGGGCGAATATCTTGACCGCACAGAGTAGTATAAATTGAGAACTGTATAAAAAATATCTAACTAGTTATCATTTTATGATTGAATTTATAAAAGGTAGGAAGTGTACAGAAAATAAATCGAAATTAGATGTGTTTGAGCAATAACAACGAGATAGTAAGAACAAAATAATCTATACATATTCTAATAATAATTCATGGTACTTTGAATTCACCTTCATACTACTTAGAAAGTACAAATGAGCCAAAGTAAACCAAGTTAGGAATGGAGCAGTAAATGACCGAAGAGAAGATTAATGAGGATTGTAGCACATAATCAAACGTTGACTAAAATTAAAAGAAACTACGATATTGCATTCCAACTCAGTGATCTGAAATATTATGCTTATAACAAAACCTGATGATAATCATATGGAGTTCGAATGTATATAGACTCGGAACTGGGATGCAGAGTGCTCCCTAGTTATGACTAATCAACTAAATGATGTTAGTTTTTTTTGCGAAAGGCATTTGAAAACCATTTATCAGGTATAGATTCGTGTAATGAGTACAAATGTGATGGATATTGAAACTACACATAGCCCAGACTGAAGTAGGTGGGAGGGGGTTCGAATTTGAGACGTAATGGCTGAAAGGTGAACACCTTATCCACTTAGCCACCGCTTTGAGAGCAAAGCACTACGATAATGATTCAGGTTATTCATTGTATTCTATGTTCAATATCTAATTGTCAACAAGTCAAGTGTTACACCCAGTTAGTTATAGAGTGGTTTCTAGAATCGATAAGCCAGAATTCTTCTTGTAACAGCATTAACTACGATGAAATCTCATGTTATGAAAGCAGTAGAACGAAAACTCTGACTACTAAAACCAGAAATTTCTTAAATAATAAACTTACTAATTATTTTGCGCATATTCTTGAATGATAAGTATTCATCGACCATCTTATATTTGGGAAGAGGGAAGGAAGTGAAGAAATGGAAATCAACAATGAAAATGTTGGTTAACAAAATACAGATATTGAATGACATTAATTAATGATATAATTGAATAGTATGTGTTGTCCAACTATTTGTGCACATTAAATGAGCGAACAGTCGACAAATGTAAGTTAAACATATCACTTGCTCAGATAGGCTTCAAATCATATAGGTAGTTATACACAGATAAAATATGGTAAATTCAACACCTACAGCTTACATGTTACTCACGATTAAAATAGATCAATGACACTAACGTAACAATAGCTGATGTAGGTTTGATTCCTTTGAAGAGCATCAGTTCGCATTTAGATTATAGATACTCTCTATTCATGAATGTTAACTAGCACAAAGTTAGCTTTCAAAACTTCCAATTTTCTCCGACTGTCTGAAAGTCAAATGTATATACTGGAATCCTTCCAGTTGATTAAACATCAACTAGTAAGAATAAATATTTCATGCATGCAAAAAATCGTTTATTTACTAGTTTACACTTTGATTTCGACCTGACCCTATGAATTAAAGGTTGCTATGCATCTTAGACAGTTTAAATCAACAGATTCTTGAAAACATCTATATTACAAGTTAGTACATGTTGTATCAACAAAGATCACAGTTGTCAAGGATCTGATGAATAATTATGCTAGGAACATAGTAAAAAGAATTAAGGAAGGTCAAGAAAACGTGCAGGATCGACCAGAAGTATAAATCAACTTTCTGCCTATCTCATATAATAGAGGAACTTCAGGGAAACCTCAATCATCGTAATATAAGAGCAATTTCTCCGAAGGAACAATACATATAGTTCAACGCTAGTAAAAGTCAAAAATACAGTACCATGGGGAGAACAACAGAATTATATTTATGTGATCACAGTGATAGATCTGCTTGTTGAACATTTGTTACTGACTAGCAAGACGCTCTCTATAACCCCCGGTAATTTCTACGCTCCAAATCGAACATTAGAGAAAATGTACCAAATGACAGTAGCAGCTTTACTACAAGCATAATTCCGTATAGAAAATGCAATGTATCTACATACTTTCATGTGACTTTAGTCATCCAAAACTTTTCGGAAACATACTGGATATAGTAAAAATCTAAGTAATTTTCCAATCAAGACGATCCATAATTCTTTATTTTTCTAGATGTTTAGAAGTCTCTAGTCAATAGTAGTTGGACAAAACATTTTCAGTCTTTTCCCGGGACACTGGAAACTATTTCGAGGGATATTTGTGAACATACAAAGATTTATATTCACATCTAACAGAATCCAAATCCACCATTTTAACAGGATTGGATAATGTTTTGATATACAGTTGTTCTGTGAACCCTATTTATTTTTGGCCATTTTGTTCTTTAATTATTTGCTTGAAAAAGACCAAACTGTCACGAGGAACATTGAAATTATTCTTAATTTCAACTGCTGAAAATTTCACAAATATAATTTCCGTTTATGTATTAAATAAGAATTTCTTTTCTTTTCTTCAAAACTTGTTTTACAGTGAAGTACATTCTTTTCGAAAAATCATTCGACCTTGATGAATTGCTTACTTGTTGACATTTTTCCTCAGTCACTTTGTGTCTGTATATGAACTCAAAAGGTTTGGAGACATATACTTTTCAAGACAAAACAAATTGGATAATCAGACAAAGTGACAGGTCAATCAGCAATAATCAACGTGGAGCTCAGTAAAAATGTCAGTTGACCCAAGTTACAATAGATTTGAACTTATCAATAGTACACATCGATAATCTTCTATGAAAGTTCGTATCCACGAGGGTTGAGGTAGGTTTCACAATGAAAAACGTAGTACGTTATTGAAGAGGGGGAATTTGAACAATTTAAAATTAATAGGGATTAATTTGATTTATTCAGTGTCAACTGCTTATTACTTTCTTTCACATTCAACTTCGTTGACTTTGCATGCCACAATATATGAAATAAAACACTAAAAGTTTTTTATTTGGAAAAGGCATTACTGGTGAACAGAAAAGATTACTTTTTGTTGAGATTTGAAGGTGATCAGCGTTAGACTGTTTGGAATTATCATTGTGTATTACTGAGGTCTCATTACGTACTGGAAATAAAATAAAAACATATCTGTCTGTTGGCAAACATTCTCCGATCGTGATAAAATTTATCTTCAGTTTGTGTTAAACCATTATATAAATACAACACCAACCATGATAATACTTACATTAGTTGAATCTGCCACTGAATAAAGGCTATCAGTTAGCGAAAAACTACTTCCAGATTGAGCAAAGCATGCACCGCTTTCTACAACTGTAATTAACAGATAAAAACATTATTATTACTATTATAATGAATTTTATCGTGAATACTTGAACTTTACTAAGGCTTTAATTTATACGTAAATGAATTTTTGAATTGATTTGCGATCTATGGTCAGCCGAGAATAATTACATAACATGAAAATGAACAACAGTTATACATGTATATAATTTAATGAATTCTCATTTGATGAAATACACTATGAACGTGTGAATTTTATTAAGCACGACACATTCATTAGCCAAGCAGTATGAAATCCTACATGCTCAACACTCCATTACTTATAGAATACGACCAGTGTTAATTTCATTTTACAATCCTTACTTGACTAGTTTTGCAAACAACAAAATTTGTTAGATATCTAAGTTAACTTATTCCTGAATGATAATCAATGTTACGAATAGGCATTACTGACAAAGTTTTTGTTGCATAGTAATCACTAAACTGAATGATGTGAACACTGTACTGTATTTTATGACAATAAGCATTTTGATTACATTACGTGTTTGCAAGTACTTGCCAGAAAAGGATTCGAAGGTAATGAAGAAATATATATGAACTATGAAATTTAAAATGATAACATTCAAAGACACAGTTTAGGGCGATGCAGATAATCTCCAACTTACTGAAACTACAAGCATTTACATGTGCTAAACAAGATCAAATTATTATCAGTTAAACAGTTGGTAGCAACATCCACATAATGATTATTCCGCACTATAAATGTAAAACAACAGTACTCAACTGATTGTTCACAGTAGACTTAAAACAAGTATCATGGAATAAACACCATTTGTATAATAATACGATGCGTCAGGTACAAAAAAAAACCCTGTGAAAATAGACAAAATCCGTAAGTGAATTCATTTAACTTTACTATTTGATTATGGCTGACGAAACAATTTAATTGGTTTGAAACTCCATAGAATTATACAATCTATAACAATAGAGAAATTTGACTTCAAGAATCCAAATGGTCATAATGATAAAATTTGGCCGCTATCTGATCAGTGTTAAAAATTATCATTATTAATAATGACAACAACAATCAAAGGTAACAGTTGGAATTCATTTATGAACTAATATTACACGTATATTTATGTAGCATATTTATTAGGTAACTAGATTAGGTATCTAGTATCTAGGTATAGCTTCGCCTGTAACTCTTCCAGAGTTACTGCCGGTTCCAAGCCCGGGTAAGGAAAGAGGTTTGGGCATGGAGTTAGCGTCCCCATCCCTAAGAAAACTAACACGCCAAAAAACGCTTACCAGAAAAAATAATTCCAACCATTTTAACTCTGCCCTGGGAGTTAGATCTTCATTTAGAAGAATTATGACGCTCCATGGTGAAAGCCGAGTTCCTTAGGAAGCCAAGAGGCCGATGCCTCTTCTAACAACCAGAGCAAATTTTTATAGGTACATGGAGCGTCCGAACAATGTGGGAGACCGGGAAGACCAGTCAAAAAGCAACGGAAATGAGGAAATACAACTTGGCAGTACTGGGAATCAGCGAAACCCATTGGACACAAGCAGGACAACAAAGGCTAAATACGGGAGAGATTCTGCTGTATTACGGTCACGGAGAGGAAAATACTCCATACACTCAGGTAGTTGTTCTAATGATGTCCAAAGTAGCACGAAATGCACTTGAAGGATGGGGATCTCACGGATCCAGAATCATCAAAGCATCATTCAAAACGAAGAAAAAGGAGATCACAATGAATATTATCCAATCTTATGCACCCACCAATGATAGGAACGACGACAACAAAGATCAATTCTACGAGCGGCTGCAGTCAATAATAGAGAAGTGCCCAAGAAACGACCTCACCATTCTGATCGGAGATCTAAACGCCAAAGTTGGAATAGACAACACCGGATATGAAGATATCATGGAACGATATGGACTGAGTGAGAGAAACGAAAATGGGGAAAGATTTGAAAATCTGTGTGCATTCAACAGACTGGTCATAGGCGGCATAATATTTCCATACAGACGTATACACTAAGCTACATGGATCTCACCAGACAACACCACGGAGAACCAGATAGATCATATTTGCATCAATAAAAAGTTTCGAAGGACAATTGAAGATGTGAGAACCAGGAGAGGAGCTGACATAGCTTCAGATCACCACCTGGTTGTGGCGAATTTAAAACTGAATCTAAAGAAAAACTGCACAAGCAGCATTACAAAGGTTCAATACAGCTTTCCTTCGAGATGCTGACAAACTCAATGAATTCAAGATTGCTCTCAACAACAGGTTACAAGCCTTACAAGATCTACTGAAAGAAGAAGAAACTAGTATGGAGGACAACTGGAAGGCATCAAGGAAGCATTAACTTTAACGTGTCAAGAGGTTCTGGGTCTAAAGAAATACCATCATAAGGAGTGGATCTCTACAGAAACACTGGACAAGATCAAAGAGAGGAAGAACAAGAAGGCAGCAATAAACAACAGCCGAACACGAGCAGAGAAAGTCCAAGCACAAGCTGAATACATAGAAGCAAACAAACAAGTGAAGAAAAGCATTAGAGCCGACAAGAAGAAATACGTGGAAGAACTAGCAACGACGGCGGAAAAAGCTGCAAGGGAAGGAAATATGAAACAACTTTACGATACAACGAAGAAACTAGCAGGGAAATATAGTAAACCAGAGAGACCGGTCAAAGACAAAGAAGGCAGGTTAATCACTGAAATTCGACAACAACGGAGCAGATGTGTAGAGTACTTCGAGGAACTCTTGAATAGGCCGGCTCCAACGAATCCATCGGACACCGAAGCAGCACACACAGATCTTCCTATAGATGTCAATCCACCAACGACGGAAGAAATCAGAATGGCCATCAGACAAATCAAAAGCGGGAAAGCAGCAGGACCCGACAATATTACCAGCTGAAGCACTGAAGTCAGACATCGCAGTAACTACAAATATGCTTCACCTTCTATTCAAAAAGATTTGGGAGGAGGAATAAGTGCAGATGGACTGGAAAGAAGGACACCTCATCAAGATTCTAAAGAAAGGAGATCTGAGCAAATGTGAGAACTACAGAGGCATTACACTACTGTCAATACCAGGGAAAGTCTTTAACAGAGTGTTGCTGAACTGGATGAAACATGCAGTAGACGCCCAACTTCGAAATCAACAAGCTCGATTCCGTAAGGATCGGTCGTGCACAGACCAAATTGCGACACTACGGATCATCGTCGAACAATCAGTTGAGTGGAACTCGTCACTGTACATCAACTTCATTGATTATGAAAAGGCATTTGTTAGTGTAGACATGAGGACAGTATGGAAACTTCTTCGACACTACGAAGTTCCTTAGAAGATTGTCAATATTATCCGGAACTCATACGACGGACTACAGTGCAAGGTCGTACATGGAGGACAGCTGACAGATGCATTCCAAGTAAGGACCGGAGTCAGACAAGGCTGTTTACTCTCTCCCTTCCTCTTTCTTCTGGTGGTCGACTGGATTATGAAGATCTCGATATCTGAGGGAAAACACGGCACAAAATGGACAGCTCAGAACCAATTAGACGATTTGGACTTCGCAGATGACCTAGCCCTCCTATCGCATACACATGAACAAATGCAGATGAAGACAGCCAGTGTAACAGCAGTCTCTGCATCAGTAGCCTCAACATACACAAGGGGAAAACCGAGATCCTCAAATACAACACCGAGAACAGCAATCCAATCACTCTTGATGGCGAAACTCTGGAAGATGTAGAATCCTTCACATACCTGGGAAGCGTCATCGATGAACAAGGAGGTTCAGATGCAGACGTAAAGGCGAGGATTGGCAAAGCAAGGGTCGCATTCCTACAATTGAAGAACACATGGGACTCAAAACAACTTTCAACCAATATCAAAGTGAGAATCTTCAATACCAACGTCAAGACAGTTCTACTGTATGGAGCTGAAACTTGGAGAACTACAACAACCACCATCAAGAATGTACAAGTATTTATGAATGGTTGTCTACGCAAGATACTCAACATCCATTGGCCGGACACCATCAGCAACAGCCTTTTGTGGGAGAGAACAAACCAGCTTCCATCTGAAGAGGAAATTAGGAAAAGACGATGGAAGTGGATGGGACATACATTACGCAAATCGTCAAACTGCATCACGAGACAAGCCCCAACTTGGAATCCTGAAGGAAGGCGGAAAAGAGGAAGGCCAAAGAACACATTACGTTGGGAAATAGAAGCAGGTATGAAAAGGATGGATAACAACTGGAAAGGATTGCCAGGGATAGTGTTGGATGGAGAATGCTGGTGAGTGGCCTACGTTCCTTCACGAGGAGTAACTGGTGTAAGTAAGTAAGTAAGTAATTAGATTAGGTATAATCATAGTCCTCTTATCATAAGTTTTATTTTGACCTATAGACTATTTGATGTGATTTACTGTTCTTATGTTATGTCCAGTTTATTAATCACAGTCTCCTTCAATCGCAGTCACTATTTGGCATGATCTCGTATAAATGTATTTTTCTATTTTATGGTGTGATGTGGTCTGTTTGGTTTGTATATAAACCTAATATGTCTGAAATATATGATAGGTATAGAGGAAGCTGGTATTGGCTTTCTGGCGTCAACTGGCAGTGCTAGGCGAAGAAAAGGGCCAATTGGGACACTAGGCTATTCGTATATGTGTATGCATCATTAGTTGGTTTTATACGTCATCGTACCTAAATTGGCAACCGCATTTAGCGATAATCGTATAAGCTAAGGACATAACAAATGCCATACCTTTAATAACAGTAAAACATTTCTCAGCACAAGATGTGAAATATGAACAGCGTCTAGTTTACATAAAAATTTAACCCAACTTTGTTCGTTGTAACTAGTTCGGTTATTTTTTTAAAAAGGGGAGACTACAAGGAAAGTACGTCAACAATAGTGATAGTTCGGTTAGAATTTAACAATGATTAGCTTGCGTTAATGTGTAGGCTTGTTATTAAGGCGTATGATCGCATGTAGTTAGCATGTGTAAAAACGAATCTAACATAAGAAACTTTATTGCGATATTTCAACATGTGAAGAGTATATGGCCGAGAGGCTTCAGCTGGTTACCATGCTACTTTTTGATGAGTTTTCTATTAGTGTTGATACATGACACAAGCTTTAAGCAATAAAATTAGCCACCATAATATTATACTTGGAACCGAAAACTGTTCAGTCATTAGGGAACATCCAGTCTATCAGTGGACAAACACGACAACATATGAGATAGAACGCAGCATAATCATTTTTATGTACCTTTTATTCACTGGGTTCATAGTATTAATTTTAGTCAATTCTTAATGTAATATGATCGTCAATTAGAGACAGAAAGGTTATATGACTGATATAAAGCTAGGAACCAACACAGTAGAAATTCTTATCTAAAAAAAACAAGTTCAATGCTGAATAAGACAAAAGCAACCAAGTATCTAATCTTACAGTACACCACGTTGAATATATAGAAACACTAGTATGTAACTATTTTTTTAAGTAACAGAATAGGTGATCATACAGACTTAGTGGAGAATGCAATCGATATGATAGACATACAAATACAAAGACAGAGAAACAGAAAACACAACGGCCAAGTCAATATAGAATGACAATCAATTATTTCATGTATGCATACATCTAGATCTATAGTCAGTCGTTTTAATTGCTTTGTGAACTATACTAAGAATTGTGATTAACCAAATATGTAGGACCATAAAACAATATATGATGTTGCGCAGGCGCACAAATACTAACATTATTTGTTCACAAATTCATGAGAAGGTATTGTTACTACCACAGATAAACACAATCATGCAAACACACAAAGAGAGAAAACACGACGAGATTGATACTTTTTTTATATAATTTAACAAAGTTATATATTTTCAATCAGCATCGTATTTTCACATAAATACAAATAGTTTCCAATTAAAAAAGTGGGCCATGTTCGTAAACAATAGTACTGACAAAAACAATAAGAATTAATTGTTTAACTGATACATTTTATAAAACTTACGAAGTGTTTGTGTGTTCAATACGTTAATTGATGCTGTAATCGACCAAAAGTATATTCTTAAGTAACAAAAGCGTTTACTACTGCCGGCATATTAAATGATACACATACAAGCGTCTTAGTAACAAAATCATCTATACACAAACATACTTTGATTGAATGAAATTTTGGGCAAGTTAGGTTCAAACTTTAAATTCACAATAACAATATTCTTGATTGATGAATGAATACAAAGATTATTTATTATTCCAATTTAGCTTATTCACAGAGTGAAAATAAAATACAATAATTGTCAATATGGGCTTGTTGAGATTGTTGAATTTCATTGAAATCATGAACCACGTTTTCTATAGCTGTCTACCTTAGATCGGTTCGTGATTTCGACGAAAATATAATAAGGTCGAATATTAATATTGCTTAATAGATAAATTACTGAATGAATAAAAACAAAGAAAGATCTACAACAAATATGTCACCCTACTCCTATTTCAATATGATTATACGGATGTCACTGAGACATAACCAATATCATTGACTATCTAGTATTTGAAGCTGATCGAATTCTGTCAACCAAAGTCCTCCATTCGACTAGGTCACCGTATACCTTCTTTAGTGTACAATTAAGGACAGCTACTGACAATCAATTTCACAACATAAAATGATTTAATATATAGTGATTAATTAGGATAGAAATCATAGTTCGACAGTTCGTAAAAGTAACATTCATAATTATAGCAATCCGAGTTGCTTGTGAATTATAACTTTCATCACGATTACAATATATATCAACCGACCTAAACTTCTATTGAAATAACCATGAGTTACCCTATATTGCATTTGTTCGGAGTCATATATATATATATATATTCAAGTGAAAGATAACTTATCAGTAAGAAATTAGAAGACTATAAAAAAATACTCATTATTGATGGACTACGGACCCTGATAACTTAATGTTTTTAATTATGGGAAATAATAAATGGCCTGTAACTAAAAATTAATTTAGTTACCCCTCAATGTGATAAGATAAAAAACAAAGTGATTTCCCTGTCACATTCATACATATTTTCAGTTCTTGATAAACCATAAACAAAGCTATTGCATAATGTAGACAAAATTACATGTTTGCACAAACGGAAATAGAAACTTTTACTACGACAGATAGAAATTCATTCGTTTATATAGCATGGAGGAAAAATACTTACTATTCACTTATGAAATACATAACATTCTGCTTAACTTCACTTGATGTTTGTTTTTACTTATATCTTCCCATTGTTATTTAGGATTGCAAATGATCGGTCTCTTGTTGGCATATGGGCATCGTGTGCAGATTGCCTCGATATGGCCTTGAGTCACAAGCTTTTTAAGCCAAGATGGATAGTGGTCAGAAGTGGAATCTAGGACGCGCGTTTCGTCCTATTTGGAACTCGTCGGCTGGATGTACATGCATCCCATAGGTGACGTTTACTCCGGAACTTGGACCCAGTAGCGTTTGCTTCAAATGCCATCGCGTTATCCACTTAGTTTGAGTCCTGGAGTGAGCATCAACTCTGGGATGCAGCTGACGGGTCCCAAATGGGCCGAAACACGCGTTCTGGACTCCACTACTCGCCACTGTTCATTAATTCTGCTTAACTGTTCCAAATTAACATTAATTAATAAACAGTAACAATGAATACATTCAATTTTCAAGTATCATTATTTACAAGATCAGTGTCACATGTATATAAATATGCGTATAAATTAAAGTACACTTTTACTGTATACGCATATATTACAAAATATTTATTGAGCATAGAATGGCCTGTTATCAGTTATATAGAAATTAGATGAACTAACACCTATAAGTACATGCATTAATAGGAGTTTCAAATTATATTAATTTTTAATACCAAAATTGGAAAAAAATATGTAAATGACAGCAAATTTATGAAACAGATGAAATAGCCTACTCTCCGTTACTGGATTAGACGTTTGAACCCTATTCTATCCACATAAATTCTAGGCAGAAAGTATGAAAACAGTGCCGCCTAAATTCAAGTACATAGGACTCTGTTTCAGTTACTCAGTTGCAGTAAGAAACAGTGAATGACTGATTAGAACTTGCATGATACCTCACATTGAGTACAGATCACATACTGATGAAAAATTAGTTTCAATTACCTGTAACTTATTAATGAAAGAGAAGCTTTTTAAACTCAGAGTTGATTTACACTTCACATGTAAGGGTCATTGGTATGACAGTGTGGATTGTTAAAACAACAGAAACAGATTCTCAATGAAAACACACAAGTCGACAACAAGTACGAATGATTCCCAAGCCAGTACCTTGTATCCTATTAAAGCATATAAATATCCGAAGATGATATCTGGTCTATAACAGTAATAAATTTTAACCTAAAGATTATAAATACTCCAGTAATATTATTCGGATTGTGTATGCTACTTATGTCGACAGATATATGAAGGTAAACTTGAAAGAAACAGAAACGGAATTAGAAAGGAATTATGAACTGAAAGAAGCATATAGAATGTCAAGGAAAATGATGGAAACTAGCAAATGGAGTATTTAATATATGGTTCTTATATTTTAACAAGAGAATTTATAATATTGTATCAACATGGATTTAATTGTCTCATCTGTCTGTTCATTCACTGTAAGATCATGTATCAAGTCTCAAAATCTATAGTAGGAAACATTTAACCTTATCGATCAAAAGCTTGGAATGATGATTTCTAATTTAAATATATATATCCCCTAAAAGCCCTGGTACGGCCGAGAGTGTGAAGAGTTTGCTCTCCCTCTCCGAATGCTCTCACATGGTCACGTGTATACAGCCACTGACAGGGAAGTCCCACTCATTCCCTTCTCGTGGTGTGGGTGTTGTTTACGAAAAGTGAATGTCCGGCGCATTAACCGGGTTGGTGGATATAGAGGATCCAACTAGGGGAGTTACAAAACCCTGATTCCAAACCAATGGTGCACATTGGCTCCAGGATCCTGAGGGAACAAATAGTGTGTGAACCAATCGTTGGTCCCTGGCTACCATGGGACTGTATCTCCTTACGTTGCTCCACTGCCTTGTGGATCAGACCTTTGGGTCGAAGGCCCCGGGTGTGGCCCCCTAAGAAAACCACCTGCTCCGGTCTGGGCACTTGGGCAGTACACCAGCCCTCACATTAATCGAATGATTTATGTGGCGCATATCTACTTTCTGCTTTCTTGTATCAATGTTTATGTGTTTAAATAAATCAGCTCAAACCAAGAAAAAACATGCTTCACATGAAATGAAAGTATACAATTCAGTTTTCAACAACTGAGCTATTCAGAGGTCATCTGGATGATTTTAACACGCAAACAAAATATGGATGCAAGCTAATCACAAAGTAGGTTAGTCACTTAGTCAGAGAAGAGTACAACCAGCTACGTACATGCATCGGTTCAAGTTGCCACACTACACTAGCACAACAAGATAATATACCACAGTAGTAGAAGTAATACTAATATCAATACTGGTAGAGTCAACTTGGCATGGACAAGATTATTCTAGAAGATGTAATGAATTCGTTGAATAAAAAGTATAAGATTCGTTCGACGTCGAAGATCTAATGGAAGAGAAAAGATGTATGCATCTGCGTTATTGTTACCAATTCTCGGACATGTCGATCGACATCGTCAACATATGGATACCATAATCGTGAGGGCGCTAACCAGATAGTCTGCATCTAGCAATACAGATCAATCAAACAGTAAATGACTTTATGGACTGATGCCACATCTTGGTTTGAACACACTCAACGTTTTTAAAATCTACTCCTGAAATACGGATGGTTGACATTATTTCAATTTTATAATTCTGTTAAATAAAGTGCTAGGACAAAGCGTTAACAAATAGACACTATGAATTCTTCATCAACCAATAATAATAAATACTTACGACTGCTTTCACGACATAGCATTGTTCCATCTAAATATGTTGAATTTATACGCGCACCAGGAACCGAGTTCCCAATACTGGAATTTTTATCACCAACAGTACCATAACACACTGATTGACTAGTAAAATGTTCATTACCGCTTACACGTGGATAATTGGTACCATCGATAAGTGGATCAGAAGATTTGCCATCATATAATCGTAAATAAATCGGATTATAAGGAATTGACAAAACTGTAGTATCATAACCAGCATTTACTAGTGATTCAGTTATTTTATCTGATGAAAACAATAGATCATCATTTATTTCAAACTCAGTTGGATAACTGTTTGAAAACAAACAAACAACGGAGACATTAATTATTACCACTATTAATCATAGGGGAATATATAGATAATAACATTGATAGATGTCACTACAAAAAGATTTTAACTTGAAAACAATTGTGACTTGGGTGGCTAACCACATTAAAAATAATGAGGTAGTAAATACCTGATGACAAAAATGAAAATATCACTATAGTTAATTTTAAAAAAATAAATAAACCACTGGATATTGACTCACGGTATCGTGGTTATCAACAGAAATGAGGGTTACGAGTTCTATCGTGAGTGAATTAATGTATGCATAATGCTAACCAATGCTGGTGTAGAAGTAGATTTTTAAAAATGTTGAGTGTGGTCAAACCAAGATGTGGCATCAGTCCATAAAGTCATTTACTGTTTGATTGATCTGTATTGCTAGATGCAGACTATCTGGTTAGCGCCCTCACGATTATGGTATCCATATGTTGACGATGTCGATCGACATGTCCGAGAATTGGTAACAATAACGCAGATGCATACATCTTTTCTCTTCCATTAGATCTTCGACGTCGAACGAATCTTATACTTTTTATTCAACGAATTCATTACATCTTCTAGAATAATCTTGTCCATGCCAAGTTGACTCTACCAGTATTGATATTAGTATTACTTCTACTACTGTGGTATATTATCTTGTTGTGCTAGTGTAGTGTGGCAACTTGAACCGATGCATGTACGTAGCTGGTTGTACTCTACTCTTACTAATTAACTTATTTCACCAATACCAAGACAATGTTTCATTAAGAAATAGTATCAGCTGCAGATTTATAAAAAATCATGGTGGAATTAATGTTTTGGTCGAGGTTTTTTGTATATAAATAACAGTTTTTATTTTCCTCAATATAGATTTAACTTTTATTTTGGCTTTCTATCTTTCAAAAAAAAGCACTTTAAGGTTCAGGACTCGTGGTTATGTCAGTAAATTATGTCCAATATCAGCATTTCATCAACAAATTGTAACATCATAGCATGAAACATATCTAAACCTGTAGTGCCGACGTTGTTGTTAAAGTATTCAGTTTTATATCAGTAGATCATAGAATCAAACCTCGCTCCATCTACTACTTTATTGAGAGTAGTCGGGTACAAAGAATGTCCTGTGAACAATTATTTGATTGGATTTTTTTATTTGGTCCAGTTAATTAGAAATCTACTGTCTTTAGTCTTCCAATTGTACAATATCAACATACGTTTGCCATAGATTTTCTAAGAAAAACTCATTAACTATGTACAGATTCGAGTAATTGGCTATTGATACTATCCGTCGTTCTAACGAAATTATTCGGAACAGGGTTTAAATTTGAGACTTAATGGTTGGAAGTCAAAATCCTTAGCTACTGAGACATTCTTCATCAGCGACTGCTGACAGTTTTGCAGTAAATATTATCTGCATATAGTTAATTGACATGGACGAATTGAAGAAAAACAAAAATTGATAAATGACATACGTGAAGTATCAAAATAAAAATTACCTATCCACAGTATTTGTTCGATTAAATGCAACGGAAGGCAGTAACCACGGTGCTATGTCTCTTCGACGTTGAATAACCTATTTAAAGTGGAAGAAAATAAGCCAAGTAAGAAATCCGACAAAAATATATAGGAAAAATCCTTGAAGTTCGTAATACATAAATGCGATTAGTGGGGACTTGTCAAATTTGAAGATTAAATTTAACATCTGCTAAAGTGCCACCGAAATATGGAGAGCAGTAAATATATACGTTTTACTTCTATTTTAAAACACTTCATACGATCCCACTTAAGATTGCCCTCAAGATTTCCACATGTCCTGAAGATCTAATGAGAAGACATAATCAGTGTCACGAACCGCATCGAAACTGAAGTGAACTCCCGTTAATTGTAGTAAATTATGATCGTGTAATTATGCAAATTAGAGAAGCTTTATGAAATTCAAGCGTTGAAGACAGAAATCTGAATGCAGAAGTAGCATATTCAAGATCTAAATGGGCCTAATTTCTCATGATTTTTCCTACTCAACAATATGTTGTTCTTAATAACTTCATGTTTTTCATTTCCTCACCTCCAAGATATTCGCCAAGTGGGCAATCAGCTTCCATATATTTAAACGGTCAACTACTCACTAACTTTATCTATCACACAACTTTCTGGTAACATCTGAAATTTCCAAACACTATGATGAAGCCACCTTCTATTTATCAATAGACTACAAACATTTTCTAAATAGTCATAAAGACAACTGTATAGCTCCAGTAAATGATATTGTCAAAAAATGATAAATTTGATTCGTCAAATTGTTTGTAATTATTTTTCAGTTAGATTCACTTGGTATTGTTTTGTTGGTATCTTCCCATTGGGGTTTTACGACTGCAATTGCTCAGCCTGTTATTGGCATATGTGCATACTGTGCGTATGCCTCGATATTGCCTTAATTCACAAGCTTTTTCAATTAGTGTTAGGTTCATCGCATATTAGGATTGTATCAAGCTTACCAAAAATACATAAGAACCATGGATACAACTCCTACATAAGATAGTAGGAAAGAGCAACTAATGGCTTCCAAATGAAAACAAAACCGTTGCCTAGTTCTTAAAAGCGTTCAATGGTTCCCTAAATGATATCAGCTTCTAGTGAGGTATTTATAAAATACAACAGAGATCAGTGATAACAACATTAGACTGAGGATATAGACCCGAGAACACCGTCAATATATTTTCATTCATCTTATTCACTATTATATATATATATATATATATATATATATATATATTGATATACCACTATGAAAAATAACCAAAAGTCACTTACAGTATAAATATGTTCACTAAGTGATTGAAGATTAATCAACTGAACAAGTAGTGTTATTGTACTAGCTAATAATGCATGTAAAGCACAGCGATGTGTTAACGGCATATAAGTATTTTCATCAATGATTTTTGTTTGAAGTGCCAAGATTAAACGAAACAATTCTGTAATAACCTGATGAAAAAAATATGACAGAAAGAATTGGCTTATTAAATAAAAACAAATCAAACAAACGAGAGTAAAGTAAAACGTTTTGTGAAGAAAACTACACTTGATGAGTTTTGTATCATCTACTATTCCACAATTCACAACTTCGATACAATTATAAAACAAAACAAAAGATATAAAACATAAGTTAAAAACCATAATCTTGCATCCAACCGTTGAAAAAACAAAAATAACACTTAGAAATCCTATTGCAGATAAGATGTAGGCTGATTAATAAGTTGCAAAACGTGAGGGTATGTAAAGGAATCCAATTCAGATACCTTTGAGAATAGACGAGTAAGAACGCAGGTATCAGGGCGTCAAACTCAAACTTACAGGTGTAGTTTCTTATTCAAAAAAAGAGAATTTTAAGTGTTGTTATGGCTAGTTCTAACTGAAATTCTAAGAAACGGGATTTTCGAACACTGAATTTTAAGGAAGGAAAATAAAACATTCCCAGAAAATATAATTTACATTACAAAGATTTGCTAGCATTGATAGAATGATTAATTACAGTAGTTTTGATGATAACGCAATAGGATTGATTTCAATTGAAACTTAATATCAACAATCACACTAATAAAACGGGATATTAAACGAGGAAGCCGACCTAGATTATAATATGGGAGTCAGAAGAATTCAGAACTGAAGTTTCAGATTACGTGAAACACAAAACGCAATGTCCTAACCACTAGAACACAGCGACCCATGCCCCAAATGCCCTGGTACGGCCGAGAGTGGGAAGAGTTTGCTCTCCCTCTCCGAATGCTCTCACATGGTCACGTGTATACAGCCACTGACAGGGAAGTCCCACTCATTCCCTTCTCGTGGTGTGGGTGTTGTTTACGAAAAGTGAATGTCCGGCGCATTAACCGGGTTGGTGGATATGGAGGATCCAACTAGGGGAGTTACAAAACCCTGATTCCAAACCAATGGTGCACATTGGCTCCAGGATCCTGAGGGAACAAATAGTGTGTGAACCAATCGTTGGTCCCTGGCTACCATGGGACTGTATCTCCTTACGTTGCTCCACTGCCTTGTGGATCAGACCTTTGGGTCGAAGGCCCCGGGTGTGGCCCCCTAAAAAAACCACCTGCTCCGGTCTGGGCACTTGGGCAGTACCCCAGCCCTCACACATATCAAATGAGATTTGTGTGTCGCATATGTATTTGGTGCCTCCTTGTACTAATATGTATATGTTAAAATAAATAAACATGAAACACATCAATTGTAGGCATTCGCTGTTAGTGGTATGTAGAATAACTAAAAAATTTGACGAACTGAATAATATTTGAAACGCTTACTAAGCCGTGTGACCCTGATTTAACTAATCATTCTTAATTTGAAGATGTGTGAATTGCCAATCGATAAGACATTGTCATTTATCGTACACACACAATCGTAATTGTTACTTTGTTCATTTAATAAGTTATGTAATACTTTTCAGTGTATATGCACGTGTACGTGCATGGTTTTTGTAAACAATTGGTTCAATAATCTTACTTTCAATTATTATACTACTACTTAAAAACTCAGAAACAGATAGCATCGTAAACTGCTCCGTGTTCAAAGTGGTGTTTATATATTGACAAAAAGTCAATAACTGAGTCTAATCATTATTGTGTGATTTTAACTGGATTCAATCAGATATCTTTAGTTGAGAAAGATTAAAGTACACATATACGAAGTTAAATCACAACGAACTCATCAGCATTTAAAGTAAGCTGAATCCATGCACATCAGTAGACAATAAGTCTCCATAGAAAATTAATTAATGTCGTCGAAACATCAAGACAAAATAAATTTTTAAAACAGGGTAAAAAACATTTTAAAACTAGATAGATTAAAAATTATTAAGAGTTTCAGGTACACAAGGATCGTTGAATTAACAGTGTACTGACTGCAAAACAATATCATGAGTTGATTTATGTTTGAAATATGAATCACTGGATTTTCGACTCGACGTTCGAAAAGTATGCTGCCAACCGCGAGAATTGGAGGTTTTACGCTCTACCTTATGTTTGGCTATACATATGTGATGACGAAGAATCACAACATAGACAGTTGTATAACGATACACCTTAATTTCCATTCAATTATGAAAATAAACTTTGGGAAAAAAACTATCCAGTCAAAACAATTTATTGTCAATAATATGCGAGTGGTAACAACTGAATAATGATTTTTTACGTCTATTATTATAATAAGTCGTATTTAAATCTATGAAACAGTGTAACTGTCTATAAGATACCTACTGTACTTCAATAGAATATTAAAAAAGGATAAAGCACATTTCATCTTTTTTGTACTTAGGTTAGCATACAGGGTAAAATGGTTAACTAAATCCCATGTAAAGAAAAATCACAACAACTAACCTGTTCTGCACCCATTTCTAATGCAACCAATCCAACAGTGCATGACAGATATTCTAAATTGTCTACTTTGTTACTAGGATCTAATAACTGATGATAGATATTTTCAATGAATAACACACCAGTCTGTGATAAGAAGGCACAAAAAAGAAAGAAATTTAGATGTTACTGTCATCAACATCAATTAAATACATTGATCGTTTAGAGGTAGATGAGGCGTCAGAGGATGATATATACCAGAACCATATATATATATATATATATATATATATATATATATATATATATATATATATATATATATATATATATATATAACACTAAACAGAAAGTATGCCATCGTGATAAAGAGGGTTCAACTTTATGTATACACTCCGCCCTATTTGATTGTTTGGATATTTGTCTCATAACAAAAATAATTAATTTGAACAGGTCAAACATTTTAGGGTTTCTTCGTCAAACAACAAATGTCGTTTATGCGCTTTAGTTGAAATTTTAGGAAAACCCTTCGTCATTCAGCAGACATTGATTACTAATACTGATTGACAAGATAGGTTTGTGACCTGTTATTACCCTGAGATTGGTAGATTGTAGATACTCATTGGTGGTGATTTCCTACTAGCATAAAATCTACTTCTATAGTTTCACCATGTCGATCACCTCATACCTGATAAGTCGAAGATAATATGCATCGTGATGCCCAGTCACTCGGACCAGTGTGATCACATTTCAACCTGATGGATAGAATTACATGGAGATTACGAGACAAACAACTAAACATCTAAACAACTGTTAAATATAACAGAAAGCAATTGCATATTTGCTTTAATAGCAAATTCATCTATAGTGATGGAAAAATACTTTAAAAGTAAAACTGGCTGCAGAGATAAGGTATTGGGATATACGTAATCATAGTATATAAAATGTAATTCATAAACCAAGTACAGAATTATATACTCGACTTTGAGTCACACTTCAGGTGCGAAGTCTATATAATCCGACTACATAAAACCGATTAGGTGGTATGAAGTTTCAACGTGTTGTCTAATGGTTGAATGTAGAAAATTCTTTAATCACCAAGGTATGGCTCAATAAGTTCTAATTAAATGATTGAAGTAGAAGCTAACTTACCTACTTTGAACATTATTTTAGTAGTACAAACGGTTGCAAAAAACTTCAAACTAAAGGAATACAGTGATGGATACTTCTTTAACGTGGTAAGATTACATTCATTTTACTAAATTGTCGTTTATTTCGATCCTTTCTCATATTCTAATCATATCATTTTCATTTCTTTCCGATTCATAATTTTAATTCTAATTGGCTGACTTCGACTGATGTTATTCCTTACTACCATTATTCTGTGTTTAGTTGCTTCAATACGTAGTTGGATAAAACTTCGTAGCCCTATGAATTTATATACCATTTTAATGTTCTGGAATTTTCCAGCTTATGTATTTTATTATCTGAATCACTTTTTCCTGACCATATTAACTTTCTGGTTGCTTCGCTCCGTCGTGATGATACATATTCAGTTCTAATCAAATTTGCTTGCATAACTATGTAAACCTATGATAATTTTGATTTAGAAATACTATAGGTTGTAAGTGGTTGATGAGTTCCTAACAAGATCAAATGAATTCATGTTATTCCGATCGAATCTTTGTTTTTCCTTTCATTAAAAGGATAGATATTTATATATGAGTTATAGGCATATTTTAAGCTCGGTTAGCAAAAAAAGCTTTCTACTTATTGTTAGATTACTCAATCAAGTAGTTGCAGTGAGTACTCATATAAAAAACGTATTCATCAGGAGTAAACTCGAATGACGGCATAACATAACTGTTAACACCATAAAAAAACAAGATATTAAGTGAATGTGCTGTGTTCAATGGTCCGATTCACATATTATCACATACCTAATCCCAGTTAACCACCTATTAAGAAACAGGAGATAAAGTGAATCTTAACTGCCCAAAGCCCAACAGCAATCTTTACATATCAAGGATATTCATGGTTTTTCAGACTAATAGGAAAATTTTGGTAGCCATCGTGGCTATTAGTCAGCCCTCATTGTCAACTCATTTTTCATATGACCTTGATATAAAATATTATTTGTCCGACTTAATCCAATTTAGCAAACAACTGATTAAATTTGGATAGGTGTTGAAATTTTTTCATCTATGACAGCTCTTCTGAATGTTTCACATATATATTTCTATGTAATTAAGAACGTTGGATTAATGAATAATTGAGGAAATCAATTAACGCCATGATAATTACTTTTACAGTATACTTTTTGAACTTATACAATGATCCTCTCTAGTGGATATTCCTTAATGAGTTTTGTCACATATTTCATTTTCATGATTTTTGTGAATGTTTTTCCACAGAATGTTAATCAGAACAATGTTATATAACGTTTACACAAACATTTATAAACCAACCTAAAACGTTTACCTTTTTCATGAATAAAATATCTTGTCTTTCTGGCTTCTCCAAAATAAAATAATTGCTTAATCCATTCTCACCATAAATTCTAAAGCAAGAATAAAACACGTAATAAACAGAAGTACGAAGAGACAAAAGGGTGCTGCAAATAAAATCAAAAAGTAATTTTACTGTACATTTCAAAATTTTATTTCGCTGGAAAATAATAAATACGTGATTGACAAAAATAGATGTTATTTAAAATCAAGGAGGATCCAAGTGACCCGGTAGTTTTGAATTTGCTTGTAATTCAATTAATTACTTACGCCTGTTACTCCTCGTGAAGGAACGTAGGCCACTCACCAGCATTCTCCATCCAACACTAACCCTGTTGTTATCCATCCTTTTCATACCTGCTTCTATTTCCCAACGTAATGTGTTCTTTGGCCTTCCTCTTTTCCGCCTTCCTTCAGGATTCCAAGTTGGGGCTTGTCTCGTGATGCAGTTTGACGATTTGCGTAATGTATGTCCCATCCACTTCCATCGTCTTTTCCTAATTTCCTCTTCAGATGGAAGCTGGTTTGTTCTCTCCCACAAAAGGCTGTTGCTGATGGTATCCGGCCAATGGATGTTGAGTATCTTGCGTAGACAACCATTCATAAATACTTGTACATTCTTGATGGTGGTTGTTGTAGTTCTCCAAGTTTCAGCTCCATACAGTAGAACTGTCTTGACGTTGGTATTGAAGATTCTCACTTTGATATTGGTTGAAAGTTGTTTTGAGTCCCATGTGTTCTTCAATTGTAGGAATGCGACCCTTGCTTTGCCAATCCTCGCCTTTACGTCTGCATCTGAACCTCCTTGTTCATCGATGACGCTTCCCAGGTATGTGAAGGATTCTACATCTTCCAGAGTTTTGCCATCAAGAGTGATTGGATTGCTGTTCTCGGTGTTGTATTTGAGGACCTCGGTTTTCCCCTTGTGTATGTTGAGGCTACTGATGCAGAGACTGCTGTTACACTGGCTGTCTTCATCTGCATTTGTTCATGTGTATGCGATAGGAGGGCTAGGTCATCTGCGAAGTCCAAATCGTCTAATTGGTTCTGAGCTGTCCATTTTGTGCCGTGTTTTCCCTCAGATATCGAGATCTTCATAATCCAGTCGACCACCAGAAGAAAGAGGAAGGGAGAGAGTAAACAGCCTTGTCTGACTCCGGTCCTTACTTGGAATGCATCTGTCAGCTGTCCTCCATGTACGACCTTGCACTGTGGTCCGTCATGTGAGTTCCGGATAATATTGACAATCTTCTAAGGAACTTCGTAGTGTCGAAGAAGTTTTTGGTGGAGTTTTGTTCTCTGAGCTGGATGGTTTGGTCCTGCTCCATAACACGACCAAACCATCCAGCTCAGAGAACAAAACTCCACCAAAATCATCCACCTGAGCTACAAATTTTCTCCACCATGTCGAAGAAGTTTCCATAATGTCCTCATGTCTACACTAACAAATGCCTTTTCATAATCAATGAAGTTGATGTACAGTGACGAGTTCCACTCAACTGATTGTTCGACGATGATCCGTAGTGTCGCAATTTGGTCTGTGCACGACCGATCCTTACGGAATCGAGCTTGTTGATTTCGAAGTTGGGCGTCTACTGCATGTTTCATCCAGTTCAGCAACACTCTGTTAAAGACTTTCCCTGGTATTGACAGTAGTGTAATGCCTCTGTAGTTCTCACATTTGCTCAGATCTCCTTTCTTTAGAATCTTGATGAGGTGTCCTTCTTTCCAGTCCATCTGCACTTATTCCTCCTCCCAAATCTTTTTGAATAGAAGGTGAAGCATATTTGTAGTTACTGCGATGTCTGACTTCAGTGCTTCAGCTGGTAATATTGTCGGGTCCTGCTGCTTTCCCGCTTTTGATTTGTCTGATGGCCATTCTGATTTCTTCCGTCGTTGGTGGATTGACATCTATAGGAAGATCTGTGTGTGCTGCTTCGGTGTCCGATGGATTCGTTGGAGCCGGCCTATTCAAGAGTTCCTCGAAGTACTCTACACATCTGCTCCGTTGTTGTCGAATTTCAGTGATTAACCTGCCTTCTTTGTCTTTGACCGGTCTCTCTGGTTTACTATATTTCCCTGCTAGTTTCTTCGTTGTATCGTAAAGTTGTTTCATATTTCCTTCCCTTGCAGCTTTTTCCGCCGTCGTTGCTAGTTCTTCCACGTATTTCTTCTTGTCGGCTCTAATGCTTTTCTTCACTTGTTTGTTTGCTTCTATGTATTCAGCTTGTGCTTGGACTTTCTCTGCTCGTGTTCGGCTGTTATTAATTGCTGTATTCTTGTTATCCCTTTCTTTGACCCTGTCCAGTGTTACTATAGAGATCCATTCCTTATGATGATGCTTCTTAAGTCCCAGAACCTCCTGACACGTTAAAGTTAATGCTTCCTTGATGCCTTTCCAGTTGTCCTCCATACTAGTTTCTTCTTCTTTCAGTAGATCTTGTAAGACTTGGAACCTGTTGTTGTGAGCTATCTTGAATTCATTGAGTTTGTCAGTATCTCGAAGGAAAGCTGTATTGAACCTTTGTAATGCTGCTTGTGCAGTTTTTCTTTAGATTCAGTTTTAATTTGGCCACAACCAGGTGGTGATCTGAAGCTATGTCAGCTCCTCTCCTGGTTCTCACATCTTCAATTGTCCTTCGAAACTTTTTATTGATGCAAATATGATCTATCTGGTTCTCCGTGGTGTTGTCTGGTGAGATCCATGTAGCTTAGTGTATACGTCTGTATGGAAATATTATGCCGCCTATGACCAGTCTGTTGAATGCACACAGATTTTCAAATCTTTCCCCATTTTCGTTTCTCTCACTCAGTCCATATCGTTCCATGATATCTTCATATCCGGTGTTGTCTATTCCAACTTTGGCGTTTAGATCTCCGATCAGAATGGTGAGGTCGTTTCTTGGGCACGTCTCTATAACTGATTGCACCCTGCTTCTTTACCCGGGCTTGGGACCGGCAGTAACTCTAGAAGAGCTACAGGTGGTAAACTGACACTGTTCTGAGAATGAATGATTTCGAAAATTTTAATCGCTGAACCAATCCCAGTTTTGTAAAATTTCTATAAGAAAATTAATTACCCTGTTTAAAAAAATATTATTCTGAACAGCGAGCGTTATTATCCCGTTTGTTCAATGTTCAACAGAAAAGTTTCTATAAGTTGCCTAAAAAGTTTGATGCAGTTACATTGATTGTGATATGGATTGTAATGGTTACGTGGTGAAATGATGTGGTGTGAAATTAAGTTATTATGGACAAGGTTCTTTATCCTCGAACAGTAAATCGATTTGAGACAACGGTGATTTACATCAATTGTCACAGACAAATACACGATGAAAATCTATACAATATATTTGGTGTTGATACTTATATTGACAGACATAAGTAGTATGTAGCACCATTCAGCAGTGGAATGCTATGTCAGCAGAAAATTGAATTGAAGAGAACAGGAAAGGAAACAGAGAGCAACTGTAATAACAACAAAATTGAAAAATCATGAGGCATTTAAAGGACAATTGAAGGAAGATGAACAAATAAATTGTTTAATGTATGGTTTTCATAATTTACGAAGGCACTTTTTAATTTTGCATTAAACAATAAATTGGATTTTTCCAATGGTCTTCGTTCATTATATATATACTTGCTAATGGTAATTTGTGTAGCTTGTTAAATGAGCATAGAGTTTCGCATCTACTTATCAATCAAGCTTCACCAATGAGAGCTAGTGATGTTACCAAGAGCCAATCAAAAAATAAAGTGGGTGAGAAATATTCTGTACAGGCGATATAGTTCCTAAAGGTTGGATATTTTATAGCAAGCAAAGACGATCGTAACTGTTGTAACGACTATTTACTAACGTTGATAGATTAACAGTACTTGCTAATAAGGAACTTAAGAAAGAAGGAAATGGTGTGAACTACAAACGAGAACAACGTGAGATAATATAGTTGTTGTTTTATGTAGTTGAAAGATATACGAATTAATAAATCATGATAACGAATACAAAAAAGACAGACAAACACCATCAGCATATAGTGTGGCTCAGAGGTTCTTTGGAACATATTACAAACCTCATTAAAACAGCGATATAAAAATGATGAAAGGAAACAAAATAATGTGACAAAAAGGAAGACTAAATATTGAGAATATGGTTTGAAAAAACAAGGTGGAGAGGCAGGGATAAAGGAATACAGGAATTTAAGACCGAGAAGATAAGGAGTGGATCCATCTGGGTTATCGTGAGCGATTTTGAGACATGTCCACCAAAGTCACCAAGTATTTATTGTGGCCATCTCGCAGACCCTAGCCAGGTAGTACCTATTTACCAGCATGGATTAGACCAACAATTAACGACTTCGTAGACGGAGGCCTCTTTTCGATTCGGCTTTGCTAGCTTTATTTATTTATTTAAACACATGAACATTGGTACAAGGGGGTACCAAACAGATATACGCCACAAATCATTCGACTTATGTGAGGGCTAATTGCCCAAACCGAATCAGGTGGTTTCCTTAAGAGGTCACACCTCGAGCCTTCGACCTAAAGGTCTAATCCACAAGGCAGTGGAGCAACGTAAGGCGATACAGTCCCATGGTCCCAGTTATCTAAATATCGACTGTGGTGAAATGTACAGAAGCATACTTTGTCCAACTATAAAATTACTTTGATTGTTTATCAGAAAAGGATATCTAATGAATGTACTGAACGCATTACATGTACTTCTGAGGTTAAACATTCAGTGTTGAAATAATTGAAACAAATATTAGATCTGCATAATCTTAAGCCATTTCGACGTGACATGCTAGTTGAAGCCGAATCGAATAAATGCAACGTTGATGTGAATAAGACTTGATGTTAATTCATGAAGTGACTATCTGTTGAACTGAGCCTAGTACAAAATTTCATAATCTGGATTGTTAATAACAGTTGAAAATGACAGTTTGAAGTATTTCCACATTAATTTTGATGCAACTCATTTTATTTCCATTTTGTACTACAAATATTTGATTATTTTGTATTTGTTTATTTCCTATTTCAAATAGTTTCGAAACTGTTAATATGTCATGTTTACCTCTGTTAGTGTGTATCAATCTAGAATGGAGTACCACAACACATAAAGTATGATAACAACAAGATTAACAGTAGTAGCACTTTTGATAAAATTCGACTCACCGAACAGTCAACAACTGTTCCGTATTCCCATGTCGATCAATTAAAGTATGTAGTATTTTTTGTACAATTATTCGTATGACGGGATCTGGATCAATAGCGACACCACGTAATAAAAGATTTAGAAAGTCCGAATTCAGTGCGTTCGATATAGCCACTGTTTTATATTGTGTGGCGACAGTTAGCATAGTTTGTAATAGGACCATAATTAATGGTTTCGGACGATCACCATACTCTGGATGATAACTGTTTAAAGAAAAGGAATAATCACAGTACAATTGTTAAAGAGAAACTGAAATCCGAGACAACAATCAGTTATAATCAATGCAGGCCCTGTCAAAAATGTGCGTTAGCTCAAGTTGCCCTACTACAATAACGGGATAAAACGTAAAATGACATCAAAATAGAAAAAAGAATAGTCCGATTTCGGCAATAGCATCAATATTAATAACTTTTAAGCGACACAGCTCTTACCTTATATGGTGTATAAATCAAATAACTAAAAAAATAACTGGTAATTATTTCATTGTTTCTAAGAACAATATTATTCGATATCTCATGCATGAGGCATATTTCCCAAATACATAAAATTGTTTGATTCAATATATACATGCGAATCCAAATATCTTCATAAACAAGAAAAGCCATTACAAAAGCAAACTGAAATACTCGCTATGTGTACAACGAAAAGCATATCAATTATTCTGAATATCATTTCACATTCGTTTCTGATCACTAACTGAAAAAATTAGTTAGATTCAAATGTAGAATTATTTTAGAGTTATGGTGATCAACTCCTTAGAGTTATTTAGAGACTTCACTTCGTCTGTGTCACATATATTTGAGTGCCGAATACTAGAGACATTGAAATCCTAGCCACTTCTTAGATTCCAATAACTTAGCGAAATTTGTACATTGGATAAAAAGAATGTGATAATACAAAAAGCTGAAGTAAGTTTAAGTGTAGATAAGAAATATTGGTACGTAAAGGTCTACTCAATAGTACCTAATTAAATTGTAAGGTCATTCTTCCATCTAAAGTAAATTCTTTAAACAACCTGAGAATCAATTCATTTCCCTTTTTCCTGGGACCACTGTAGAAGGGATAAGTAATTTTTCCTTGAACATTAGAATGAAATTTTTTTGAGTTCTGCTATACAGTAGCTTGTGTTGTTGCTGTAATAGTTACGTCATTCCCTCAATTTAAGTATATTGGTTTATTTCTCTATTTATATTTTATCCTATCCCATTGAGCATAAACCTTATAAAATTCGTTTCTATAGTGTTCACACGATGTATAAATCACATAATTTTCCAGATACCGAATCTAAAGTCAAAATAACAGAAAATAAGATTCATAGTCATAAGTTTCTCACAATTTTTATTCATGACTATACAAGTAAAATATAATTACATATAGAAGTGGGAGACAATTGGCAGATTTCAGTTAGTTTACATATGAGATAATTTTAATATAACTACAAAATAGTCCATTCATACTTAAGTGGTTGTTTATTTTAGATTGCCAGTTATAATGACTAGAAAAAGATTATATTACCTAAAAAATTCCCATTACTTACTAACCTACACCTGTTGCTCCTCGTGGAGGAGCATACAATACCCACCAGAATTCTTTATCGAACTCTGCATTAAACGATCCATTCTAGTTGTTCCCAGTTGCTATTCATCCCTTTGATGTCGGCTTCCCATTCTCGACCCAGTGTGTTCTTTATTCTTCTACTCTCCCGTTTCCATTCAGAATTCCAAGTTGGCGCTTGCTTCGTGGTGCAGTTTGATTACTTCCTCAATGTTTGTCCTTTCTAATTCCAGAGTCTTTTCTTAATTTCCTATTCGAGAGAAAGCTGGCTTGTCTTCTCCCACAGTAAACTGTTGCTGATTGTATCCAACCAACGAACATTGAGTATCTTACGTAGACAATTGTTCATAAATACTTGTATCTTCTAGATGATGGTTGTGGTAGTTCTTGAAGTTTTATCTCCGCACAGTAGAACTGTCTCGATGTTCGAATTAAAGATCTTAGCTTTGATGTTGGCTGACAGTTGTTTTGAGTTTCATATGTTTTTCAACTGCAGAAATGTCACCCTTTGCCAATCATCGCCTTTGCATCTGCATCACATGGACATAGTGACGAATTCCACTCAACGGATTGCTCAACAATGATCCTAAAGGTCGCGATTTGGTACACAATCGATCCTGATGGTATCTAGCTTGTTGATATCAAAGTTAGGCATCCACTGAATCTTTCATTTGGTTCAACAACCTTCTGTTGAAAGCTTTTCCTGGTACCGATAATAGTGTGATGCCTCTGTAGTTCACACATACGCTCAGATCTCCTTTCTTCGGTAGTTTGAAAAGGTATCCTTCTTTCTAATCTGTCGGCACTTATTTCCCATTCACAATCTTCCTGAATAGAATGTGGAGCATGTTTGAAGTTAATTCTATGCGTAACTTCAGTGCATCAGCTGGTATGTCGTCTTGTCTGGTTAGCTTCCCACTCTTGATTGGTTGATTGATTTTTATGAACGTTTGGGGAGTGAAATTCATATGAATGTCCGTAGGTGCTACCTCGATAACTTGTGGATTCAGTGAAGCTGGTCTTTTCGATAATTGTTTAAAGTGTTCTACACATCAGTTCCTCTGTTCATGAGTCTCAATGACAGGCTTGACTCCTATGTCCTCGAAAGATCTCTGTGGTTTATCATATTTCCATACCAGTTTCTTCGTTGTGTCATATAGTTGTTTATACTTCCTCCTCTTGAAACGTTTCTCGTTGTCATTGCTAGGTCTTCCACGAATTTCTCCATATCGCCGTAAACGGTAGCATCCCTCTCTTTTCTCGTGTTCGACTGTTGTTGATTGCTGCATTCTTGTTCTTCCTTTCCTGAATCTTGTCCAGGTTCTTGATAGAAATCCATTCCTTATGATGATGCCTCTCGAGTCCCAGAACCTCCTGACACATTGGAGTTAGTGCTCCTTTGATCCCTTTCCAGTTGTCCTCCATTATAGTTTCCTCTTCTTCCAGTATATCTTGTAAGGCTTGGAACCTGTTATTGAGAGCTATCTTGAATTGGTTGAGTCTGTCAGTATCTCGAAGGAGGACTGCATCAAACCTTTGTAATCCTATTTTTCTAGTTGTCCAGTGCTTCTCTAGCTTTAGTTTCATCCTCGCAACTACCAGGTGATGATCTGAAGCTGTATCAGCTCCTCTTCTCGTTCTCGCGTCTTCCATTGACCATGTGAATATTTTAATGATGCAAATATGACCCATCCAGTTCTTTGTAGTGTGATCCAGTGAAACTCATGTAGCTTTGTGCATGCATTTGTGGGGGAATATTGTGCAGCCTATAACCATTTTGTTGAAGGTACATAAATTTACAAATCTGTCACCATTCTCGCTCCCTTCTCTCAGTCCATGTCGTGACCAGAGTACAGCAGCATCTCTCCCGAATCTATCCTTTTCTGTCCAGCTTGGGTCTAATGTTTTTCATTGATTCTGAGCACCACCAAGTTGTATCTCTTCATTTCTGTAGCTATTCGATCAGTCCTTTCAGTCTCCTACATTGTCCGAACATTCCATGTACCTATATTAATTGTTGCTCTGGTGGTCAGAAGGGAATCAGTCTCGTGGTTTTCGAAAAATCTCGGCTTTCTTCTGAATGAAGGTCCTTCAACTCTCAGGACAGAGTTTAAACAGTTCACATTGTTTTTTCTAATTATAGTTCTTTAAATAATGTCGTTTTCTACGGGATATGGTTGCTGACCATATGCACAACCCTTCTCTTTTATCCAGGCTTGAAACCGGTAGTAACTATGAAGTTCTATAAAATGTTTAAAACCAAATAACAACACCATGAACCATTAAACCTCCGAGTGGAATCCGATTTCAAAATTTTGTTGGGTTTGTTCACAATGTGACTGAAAGTTAAATACTTAAAAGTAAACTTAATGAGTTGGATTTTAAACGTCTAATGTATTTTCCCCATTACACTAATATCCACTGAAAGTCTGAAAATATAAAAGCACTGGATATAAATTCATTAGATCAATTGCATTATGTTAACATGAAGATTTATGAACTATCCTGTACAAGTTTTTGTGTTGTTAACATAGATGAAAGATTTAAATTACAGCAGCACAACTATACATTACTCTCTTCAGTTTTTAATAGTTATCCAACTGAATTCATAATTGATGATACAATATAATTTTGACCTACACAAAATCACTAAAAATAACCACGTAACATTACATTATAATCCAAAACCTGGCTGTGAAAATGTCACTTGTACACAAACAAATATAAAAAAATCAGTTCATTTGAAATTATGAAACTAAAACAAAAAGAAAACAATAATCACCACAAAGAATGACCTATTATGAATTGGCATCATCCTCTTTGTTTAGAAGTTCCATTCAGGCATATATATAGATTTGTGATCGATATAGTTTACAATAAGATAATGATTATTTATCACGACAAAAAGAAACGGAAAATGGATTGAATCATATAACACACCAAATGATTTGGTATTTTTTGTTAGTTCACTTTTTAGTATATAAAGCATAATGCAATATTTAATATGATTATTATTTAAAAATTTTCGAACTGCAACAATGCCCAAGTATTTTCAAAGACTTCAATAGTATTTTAAGGCTATGGTATGTACAATATCTGGCACCAGTAGATGAACTTATCAACTATTGCATTGATCCGTGTTGATAGATAAGCATTCTCTATTAGAGGTCTTGATGATTTTTTTAAACAGTGGTGTGAGAGGGTGGATGGCATGTTTCACTCTTTGTTTTCCTTTAGATTTTGAGTTTCAAATTTATCTTATACTTTGTATTCGATGAGTCAATTCTCTCTCTTCGAATCGTATTATTGATCTCCAATCTTTTCACTATCTCTGATACTGTTACTACTTCTACTAATGTGGTGTATTTCTTGAATTTCATTTCGTTGTATTAATATGATGTGACAAATTCAACCGATGCATATATATATATATATATATATATATATATATATATATATATATATATATATATATATATTCCTAGATTTACTGCATTAGCTATTCAGTGTTTAATAACAGTAAAAAAGTACAGTACAGTGTGACTATACAGTATGATACAGACACATAAACCCGGTTTATTAAAAAAATCAACAGAAATAGAAAAACGGCAGATTCAATATTAGGACTGTTTATATACTTACTTAACCATTGGCTCAAAATTCAATATAAATTTCAATATTTCTATTTTTTGTGTATCTGGAAGATTTTTAGCAAATTCGGCTATAGTATTGATAATTGCCTCTTGAAACTGACGTTCACCAGATAATTTTCGATTAGAATCATTAAATGAAGGTTGTTCAGGATCAGATATTTGTGAAGTTTTATCAATACTTGCTTTTAAGATCTAAAGGTTTCGGCGTAGATTGGAATAACAGCAATTGAACAAATAAGACAAGTCAGTAATACCTATATTTAGAGACAACCTTTAAAATTTTCACAATAGGTATTCAAAGACTTGTGAAATAGACAATATAAGAAACTGGTAGAGTTTTGAATCCTAAGATAAAGTAGTTATTGTTAATAAATCACATAGTAGTGATATTGCTTAATTCCGTTAGAAATCTGTGTACATAGATATAAGCCGGGCATTTTTGCATCGGGACTGATTAGATTAACTTCTTGCCTGCATCAAAGAAGGTTGAAGAACGTTTGAAAATGTGATTACGAAGAAGAATGTTGAGAGCCCTACGTACTAAGACAATGATTGAAATAAACATTGCTGAATGTGGTGCTGATTTTTCCTGTAATATTTCCTTACCTTAGTAAATCTTGATTAAGTAATCATTCAAAATTATGTATATCTTCACATCAAATATCACTAATGAAACGGATCGAACATACTTAATTTTTATTCTACTATAACTATGGCATCACTAATCAGTTAAATTTGACATTTATTGACAGAAATCAAAAAGCAATGAGATAAAGGGTGTGGGTGTACAGTAAATTGGATTTATTGTTTCAATAACATCGTGCACAAAACAAAGATACAAGTCCTTATTTCATATGTTTACAACATCAACGCTACAGTGCTGATAAACCTCTATCCACCACAAATTTCTAGTGCCCGTTGATCTTCACTGGTTCACCAATAGTTGACATCAGTATTCGTTTGAAACCAAACATGAAACTATTTTCTATCACAAAAATATTTAGTATAAAACGTTAACTACTAATAAGTAACTCGATTCAATAATGTAAATATGTACCACTGGCACAATTTAAAAGTATATGAATAATGACATACATAATAAGTCTAAACTATGTAAAGTAATGCTACTTTTACTAACATTCTTAAGCAATATTTTGATTACATTGTACAAACAAAATCTGTATATATTCTAACCATTATCACATATACAGATCAAATGCCCCAATCTACCTAAACTAAGAAAGATAATGTAATTATACCTAGAATTTCAAAGACGATATCTGAATACTTAAGTAATTGAGCAATAAATTCACAATCTTCACAGAATGCAACTTTTAGAAGGATATAATTGTAACAGTAGTATTTCCAGATCTATCTATATTGATTGGTTTCCTCTTAACCAAACAATGATAATCGACGAGCCAAGAAAACATGAAAAGTTTATCATGCAGATTCTACACAAACTTTTGTTTTTATTACCGTAGATGTTTATGATGCATATGCTGTCTATTAGCTTGTCTAAATCTTTATTTGCGTTAAATCTAGCGAACTGTAGTGATGAAAGTGTACTAGACAATGAAGAATGTAACAACGATTAATTCAAAGTATATTATTATCCCGTAACAATTACGTTGGTGCTGTGGTCTTTGAACTGTGTAGTTTAGTTATGAAAGTTTTATTGTTCTTTGGGACAAAATCGTCATCATATACCCTTTAAAACATGTATTAATAACGTTATTTAAAAAAAGACAATCAAAGCTTCATAATTAAACTAACTAATTGACAGCCGACAACATTACCAACATCCTCATACTGATCTGTAAATATTCTTAATCTGATAATACTTATACTGTCTACTGTAATTATATGACAAATAATAGAAAAAACGGCAATGATAAGAAAATAATCACAGCTATTTACTACATATGTACTACAGTCTGTACATAAAATCCAATTGAGAGAAAAAAACAAATGAAAATTATTTAATCATTATTCCATTACTGCAATCGCATTTTCTTAAACTGTTAGCGGGACATAGACTAGATTAAAGCATGCTCAATGCATGATTGCTTTGGTGCACGCTGATTGACTAATTCCTATCCAATCAACACTAGTCGATTGTTGGAGAATACTCTGGAATATTCTTATGTAAAAACTATAAATATACTGACGTTCTCCCTATTGTGCTTCTGGCTTGCATCTTGCTTCCATCTAACCTTGTTATTTGGAATATAACCTCTTTCCTGTTCAACCGTGTTCTGATTTGGGGTCTTGTCGAGTGAATCGGTGTCCAAGAATACTAAGCAATAGGAATAGCTGGGTCATAACCGTAAGAAAGAGATTATAACAGTGGCGACGGGAAAAAAGGAAAACAAATTCAAGATGCCCATATCAGATGACCAGCTTAACCGAATACTACAACAACAGCAAGCACAACTTGATGCACAAATGCGGTTGTTGGAGACTCTGACTCAACAGCTCAGTATCCACAGCTCGAGTTCACATGCTATTTCAAGTACGTCTTGTGATGCAGTTGCTAGCAGCATCCTAGAATTCATCTATGATCCCGAAATTGGAAATACTTTCCTCACGTGGTTCAAACGTTGGGAAGATACATTTAGAACAGAATTCTGTAACCAAGACGATGTGTGGAAGACCCGATTGTTGGTACGTAAGTTGGGAAGCAATGAACATGCACGTTTTGCTGACCATATATTGCCAAAGTTACCTCGAGAGCTCAGTTTCAAGGAGACGGTATTTCAGTTGTCAGAGATATTCGGCGAGTCATCCTCGTTGTTTAGTATTCGATATCGGTGTCTAAATTTGGTGAAACGCGAAGCTGATGAATATGGTGTTCTAGCAGACATCGTCAACAGAGAATGTGAACGTTTCAAGTTACGCTCGTTGACTGATGACCATATTCATCAAAGCTCTTCAGTCACCACAAGATGCTGAGGTCAGGACAAGACTTTTAGCTCGGCTGGATCAAGACCCAAACGTCACACTCAGAACATTGACAGATGAGTGTAAGCGTCTACAAAGCATCAGACACGACAACCAGTTGATTGAACAGATAAATCCTAATTTAACCTGCGGTAGTGTAAATACTATTACTAGGTTAAAAGTTCAGAAGCCGGTAACAACTCGTAACAAACCAAGGACTGTATGCTGGTTATGCGGTGATTGGCATTATGCACGATTCTGTTCATTCAAGAAGCATAAATGTCAGGCGTGCAACAAACGTGGACATAAAGAAGGTCATTGTCCACCGAAGCGTACGTCTCAGCCTAAGAAGAAGAAGCATAAACGTCCTCGACTTGTGAAATCAGCCGAGTCTAAATCTCCTTCTCTAGTAGCTGCCTTTCAAACAAACTATGACATTCGGAGAAAGTATGTTACCATCCAGATAAACGGCATATCAGCTCGTCTTCAAATTGACACGGCATCAGACATCACGTTAGTGTCTAGAGAAACGTATAACTTGCTGTGTAAACCGCCAATGAAACCATCTAAGAAAACGGCTAAAAACGCATCAGGTGGTGTGCTAAAACTGGTTGGTGAATTACAGTGTGAATTTTCCTTCAATGGAACTAACTGTACAAGAATATGTTACATAACAGAACGGCCGAACCTTGATCTTCTTGGTCTAGATATGATAGACAAACTTGGAATAATGGATGTACCAATTAACAGTGTTTGTAACGTGTCGTGTTCATCATTGGACACCCCAGTATTTCCAAAGAAGACAGGTGAAAGGTTACCAGGAAAACTGAAAAGAAAGATACGAACACATTCCCATGTCATCCGTCCTACGCCAGCTATTGAACCTCAACGAAACCTATCGATGGAGAATCAGTTCAACCGACATCATGGGACACAAAGACGATTGTTCAGGGTGGGACAAAAAGTACTTGCTATGGACTATCGTGGGAAACATCCTGCATGGACAGCTGGTCGGATCTTGAAAAAGAAGGGGAGTGTGGTTTACGAGGTGTCAGTTGGCTCGGAAGGTTGGGTACGTCATGCTAACCAACTGAAAGCAACTTCGATAGCCAGCAACAAAATTCAATATCGATTACCTCTTGATGTTCTGCTAGACACCTTTGAAATCAAAACGCCGGGAATAGACACGTCGGTTTCTGTGCAAGAAAAGTGATACTTCTCTATTGCCTAGACGATGGACTAATCGAAAGCACAGGCCAGTCACTCAGTTGCAGTTGGACCCTAGCACCAGATCCTACGAATCTGCTCAGAGGGGAGGTGTTAGCGGGACCTGGACTAGATTAAAGCATGCTCAATGCATGATTGCTTTGGTGCACGCTGATTGGCTAATTCTTATCCAATCAACACTAGTCGATTGTTGGAGAACACTCTGGAATATTCTTATGTAAAAACTATAAATATACTGACGTTCTCCCTATTGTGCTTCTGGCTTGCATCTTGCTTCCATCTAACCTTGTTATTTGGAATATAACCTCTTTCCTGTTCAACCGTGTTCTGATTTGGGGTCTTGTCGAGTGAATCGGTGTCCAAGAATACTAAGCAATAGGAATAGCTGGGTTATAACCGTAAGAAAGAGATTTTAACATAAACCAAGCCCGATGAAAAGCTCAAGATGAAATAGTTATCCAGTGCTACTTCATTACCAAACAATCATCATGGGATGATGTTAGTTCATCATAATGAAAACGAATGAATTGACTACAACATTTTACTCAGATAAAATGTGAATTGTATTATTCAACACAAATCTATTTGATCTTCGTTGTGTCCAAAAATGTAACAACATTCAGAGCAGATAATAGTATAGTTATCCTTTCTGTTTGTTTACTTTTTATCAATTCATTATTTTTTTTTCATTGAAGTGAATTAGATTTTATTGTTTTTATTGACCGATTTAGGATGATTATCACCATTCTGTTGTTTTCGTTTTCACTTATTCTCACCAATCACTACCTTGTATATGAATATTAATAAAATAGACGAACTACTACTAGTTTACATATAATAAGTGATATTGATGTATTAAGTGATGTAATCAATTAGTCACCAAAGTAAAATATAGCTTGATACGTTTGATCACGTGAGGAAAGATGGCGCTTAGCGGTAAACACAGTTACCTTTTCGTTGTCTGACCACCACTTAAAAACCAGATACAACGAATCCAACAACCACCAAATTGATTTTAAAGACAACGAATTTGGTTTGGGTATGTAAGTTCTAGAGCTTTATACAGCTGAATTATGATTTAAAGTTGGGTACTTTAGCAAATACAAGGGTAAACAAGTAACATTACCATGAATATACCCTGTGCTTTATTGATTCCAGACAGATTAGAACTAAAGTGCATGGAATTTAGTCCGAATCACAGATTTGACACAAAAATTCTGCACTTAGCTGTCAAAAAAAGCCCTTTGAAGGAATCCCTGACTAACAGAAACTCTTGTCGTATTCGTAGAAAAATAAATTATAAGTATGGGCGAACAATAGAAAAAAATATGATAATTAATATTAATTTACTTAAACACAAAAATATTGCTATAAGAGGACACCAAATACATATGCGACACAAGTCACATGATTGTGTATGGACTGTGATACTCCCCAAGTACCCAGACCAAAGCAGGTGGTTTCCTTAAGAGGTCACACCCCGAACCTTTGACCTAAAGGTCTAATCCACAAGGCAGTGGAGCAACGTAAGGAGATACAGTCCCATGGTAGCCAGGGACCAACGATTGGTTCACACACCATTTGTTCCCTCAGGATGCTGGAGCCAATGTGCACCATTGGTTTGGAATCAGGGTTTTGTAACTCCCCTAGTTGGATCCTCCATATCCACCAACCCGGTTAATGCGCCGGACATTCACTTTTCGTCCTCTCAATTTCGTAAACAACACCCACATCACGAGAAGGGAATGAGTGGGACTTCCCTGTCAGTGGCTGTATACACGTGACCATGTGAGAGCATTCGGAGAGGGAGAGCGAACTCTTCCCACTTTCGGCTGTACAAGGGCATTTGTGTGGTTCAAAAATTATTTCAACGATACTATATAAACTTAAAATTTTAGAAAAACTTAACCACTTTTTATTCAGAAGTCCGAACAAATTAGGAAACAAAACTCCCTGATATATTGTGAAATAATGCTCATAGACACAACACAATCGCCACTACAACACTAAAACAGTTATAAGTATTTTAATTTAGTGTGGTCTGATTGCCGTTCGAATTGTATGCTATTACAGAATAGATTGACTATGAAAGGAAGTGGGAATCAGGATGGAGGTTTCGTACTGTTTGGTACTTGTCATCCGGATGCACTTGTATTTTAGTGTTTTTTTATGTTGACACTCAAACCTAGTGTTTTTCTCTGAAAACGGCCAAAACGTTATCCATCTACATAGTCACTAAGGTATTTAATATATACGGCTAAATCGCTTACATCAATGCTTTTTTTTAATTTTGTGTATATCACCATTCTATATTCCTAGTGAATATGTCTTTTTTCCTGACAAATGTATTTATCACTCTCAAGAAGAAGGTATCTAATCAGTTTATTATTAACTTCGAAACAATCATAGACAATATCATTTATCTAAAATATTACAAACACAAATATACAGAGGAAAAATGAGTGACTTACTTGGAGTAATGATTTAAAATTATGAAATACATCTGGTCCGATTGCTCCCTTTGCTAAATTAATTACAACTAGTCCAATAACCTGTAGATTTTGAATTTCAAAAAAGAAACAGATGATAACTAATTTGTTACAGAAAGGTGAGTTTGACTCATCGAATTTCAACTGATAAACTATAGATAAATATATAGATAGATATCTACTGACATTAAATCAATCAAGTCCTAATTTATTGGTGGCAGAGTGACCCATAAAGTGGATATCGTTCAATCATTTACGATATCTAATCGTATTTACTTTTTCGTTAATAATTTGTATAAGAGCATGTCATTTTATTTTTTTTAAAACTATTATTTTAGGTAATATTCTTGTTTTTAGTATCAGTTCATTCAATTGTTTTGAGTCGAAAAACTAGTTCCGTGAGTAGCCATAAACAGACCTTTTTGTATTACTGCTACGTTTGGAGAGATTATGATATCACCAAAACAGGCTAATGGAACGAAAGTTAGTAACACAACAGCAGGACAGGCTACACTATTCACTGCACTCCAGGCCTGCTGGCTAGAGGGAGAAAACCAGATTGAACCGAGAGAAATGTATATTCTTCAAGCGGTCAGAAGTACGAACGAACAAGCATACAAACAAAACGTATGCATACAGCACAAAAATGACCTTGGAAAACGTTATAAAATAGCGTATTGAAAGAGAAGACGAACCAAGAACAATTAATATCCTTTCAAATGAGCGCTTTTGATGCGAAAATAGGAAATTCAAATTCTCGAAATAAAATTACAAAAATAAGACGTTTACCAAGTGATTTCTGGATATCTATCTAGCATCCGCAACAAATACTGCATTCACCTATCGGTCAACATTCGTTTCATTTATTTTAGCAATCATAAACCCGTTAATTAAATCTGTTGTGGAGATCCAGAAAATTACTCGAAAAAGTCCAAAGGGGGTCTGAAAGCACTGGGAGACATTTTGTCCAGTCAGCATTGAACAGAAGTGTCTCGGAGACATCTAAGAAGTGGGGAGTCACGTATCACATTTCCGATTGGATGATTACCTATCCTACTACTATGCTTAGTAGCGTTCCAGAGGCCCAAGGTCGTCTAAAAAGCTATGAGTATCCTAAATTTTCTATACACTAACTAACTTTAGAGTGAAGCGTTCACCACATATCTCGAGCCTTTTCTATCATGTTCACGTTACCGTTTGGATCTAGCCTGTGGGTTACTAGAAGAGCTTAGGAAACCGTATCAAGCATTCAGTCGGAAGATTTATGACAATCCTAAAATCATCCTACATAACAATTTATGAGGCCTAATGAATCCAATCGTTATGGAAACACCGTACCTAGTTTAAATAAGTATAATCCTAAACTAACAGAAACGAGACATCAACTTAGAACAAAGTTCACGTTTCTGATTATGGAATGGAGGAATACGAGTCAAAAGTAAAAACAATAAAGTAAGCATATAAACGAAGTTTATAAGCTTCTAACCAAGAATTCCAAAAATCTAGCAGCTATTTGGTAATATGCGAAGAAACAACAACCTATTTGAAGAACATGATATTTAAAATAAAATTAGAAAAACCGAAGATTACTGTAGGAAATGGGGTCGATGATAAACGAATTAATAGGGTCAGCAACCATATCCCGTAGAAAACGACATTATTTAAAGAACTATAATTAGAAAAAACAATGTGAACTGTTTAAACTCTGTCCTGAGAGTTGAAGGACCTTCATTCAGAAGAAAGCCGAGATTTTTCGAAAATCACGAGACTGATTCCCTTCTGACCACCAGAGCAACAATTAATATAGGTACATGGAATGTTCGGACAATGTAGGAGACTGAAAGGACTGATCGAATAGCTACAGAAATGAAGAGATACAACTTGGTGGTGCTCAGAATCAATGAAAAACATTAGACCCAAGCTGGACAGAAAAGGATAGATTCGGGAGAGATGCTGCTGTACTCTGGTCACGACATGGACTGAGAGAAGAGAGCGAGAATGGTGACAGATTTGTAAATTTATGTACCTTCAACAAAATGGTTATAGGCTGCACAATATTCCCCCACAAATGCATGCACAAAGCTACATGAGTTTCACTGGATCACACTACAAAGACCTGGATGGGTCATATTTGCATCATTAAAATATTCACATGGTCAATGGATTAATTAAACTTGCGTATATTGTTTATATGTCTTAGTGTTTTACCTGAACTAAACTTGTACGTTCAGACAATGTGAAGTCGGATTCATGTAAGCTGAGATGAGCAACTAATTGTTTGACTAAACTATGCGCCACCTGAGTTGTCTAAATAAAAATAGAAAACAGAAGTAAGAAACAGACAAACAAATATAAACTAATGAATAATTTGTATTAATTTTGTTTGAAAATATTAAAGTAATTTGACAATGGCTTACAGTATACGACTAATTGATATCATTCGAAAAACAAGTGAAGAGAAAATAACTTCGAAAAATTAAAGTTACTTTTTATGGTTTGTCCGAAAATCCCCATTTTATGAAAACAGAGAAACATGAATGTTCATGAGTTCTGCATCTAAAAATTCAAACTAATGTTCCAAAAGGATAACCAATTTTAAGGCAACCACATATTTGTGAGAATTACGGCAAACGAATATAGGATTATTGGTAAAATAAAATAAAATCCCTAGTGTTGAAATGTCCATCATTCAATGCTAACTTAAATAAGTTTATGGGTCAAATGAATTTGTGAAATTGACAATGAGAATAAATATGGATGACATGAGGTCAGGGAAACAGTAATGTGATAACAAACCAAACTAAATGTTTGATGAAATATTTTATAATGTATAGTGATAAGAATTCAGTAAGGAATAGTAAGATAAAGTAAGTGCTAGTTAACTTCACGTATTTACAAGACTGAAGTACAAAATTATTCAAGTTAACATTGCATGATAGCCATTCCAACAATAACAATTTCAGTTTATTTCAGTAAACTTCTTAAGTCCCCATCTTGTTACTTTTACGATGGTAGAATTCGCCTTAAAGTTGGTGATCCCTTATGAGCTTGATGAAAACATGTAAATAAGACTAAACTTCAACATCAATATTTCACTGAGCTCACAGAAAAATAATGAATAAGTTGGTATTACATAAAAATGACGACTATTAGTTATAAATCATGAACCAATCAATGTTAAACTACCATTTGAAACGTGGAAGCGTACAGGATCATGGATGAGCACTGATTAGGAGTCTCATACTTGAATTAAACAGCCGTCCCGTGTTACCAGGTTTTCCATAATGGTTTAACATTGACCAATTCATGATCTCAGTTAAAACTCAGACGATCTTATACTGATAATAATAAATCAAGTGATGAAAAAAGTACACATATTTAATATGTCAAATGAAAACATATATAGTACTGTAGAAGCCTATAAGCGAAAATTTCACTCAATTATTCACTATCTTATACTTTTAAAAAAAGGAAGCCAATGATAACATGTAGGAAGAATATGTAAATGACTACAATTACCATAACAACCTTCGCCACGATGAGATCCGAAGAAAGAAACATGAGTAGAATGGTAGTAATATGAAGACGATAAAAAACAATCGGATAATCAATCTTCAAACATATCACCTATGATCAGATCAATATCAAAGTAGAATATCAAAATCATTTAGTATATGATTGAGTCTTCAACTGGGAATAGCTTGATGGATTGTTGAAATTATTTAAATTTCAGTATATTTTCATCATTTACACTTAAACAGTAAACATGACTAATCGTGTATTAAACCAGTGAACAACTTAAACTGTTTCAGTAGCATAAGAGATATAAAATAATGCAGACATGAAAAGGATCAAGTGGATTTTGATTGGCTGGAAAGATGATATTTCCATCTTATTAGTTAACCTTGATCAGAATAATCCCAATCGAATGAAAACAGACATACATAATTGTAGTGTATTAGCTAATTAGTTTACTGTGAATGGGATAAAATCTAATGTATCGGGTTTGATGTCAGTGAAACCTATGTTATTATTACTATGTTCTCATTTTATGCAATCGATCATCACATGAACAATAAGTAAATGGGAACTAAAATCAAATTGTTTCATAGAGAGTAAGCAATTCAGTTTATCATTTCATAGTTTAATTTTCAATTTTATCTGATGTATTTTGGAGAAAAGCGATAAGTGGAAGAAATATTACCTTCTGAAACTTGACAAATGTTCACTAAACTCGTTGTTCATATAGTCAACTCTTAGAAATAAAATAGATGCCAATCGACCCTTCTTTCTTCATATGAATTTAGTAAATAATTTATAATGTGTAGTCAAAAGTTTCAGTAAAAATCACATTTACATCGATTAAATATACACTGAGAAATTTTTTTACATAACAGAAAAGGAAGAAATATAGATTTGCTCTCTCACTCCCTGTAAATTTACACACATTTCATTTATTGCAATTTGTTGTTTTTTCTACCACTAAACTGCATGAGTTCACTTTATCTACTTCAGTCTGGATGACCGAACATTATATCATTAGCTCTCATACAGTGCGTCTCATAATCGAGTATACTGACTTGTGTTTGATAAATAAACTACACTAATATTTATGAAAATATGAGAAAATAATCAAATGATTTGATACTCGTGAGTAAACAGATCACAGTAGGATAATTGTTGAGAACTAAGGAGAACATGACAATCTTTTCCCCCTAGTTTGTCATTCCTTAGCTATCCGCACCTAAAACCCAACATAAGATGGGGCCCACGATCTTCGTGTACCACAGCGAATAATGACATTTTTAGTGTATTGAAGAATACGAAACCAGGACGAAGCAGATTTTCCTGTTCGTATGACGTCAGTGAGTGGTAAGTAAATGTATGTCAGCTAACATAGTTACGTAATAAATATTTCGCTTCCAGTATCAGCAATCTAAGCAGTGAATTCATCTTTAAATTTACTTTAGTCACCACTATACACATACAAGTATGCTTGAAACAATTCTTGTTTATTTAAAACTGAATAGTAATTACAATAGTGTGATTATACTGATAATTTAAACCTTAATATTTTGCAGCGATAGAATTATAGAAAAAATGAACAGGTTTCACAACTTATCAGTCAGTAATGATTAGTGGAAGCTTAAGGCTCGTGTTAAGTGAACCTTTTTTAATTTTTTGGAATTATCAGCAATGCTTTGACGGATAGATAGTGTAAGCCAATTTTATAATTCGTATAAATACCTTTGAATAGTTCAAATTGAAAAATCAATCAATACACAAGGTACACACTACTGTCACTTACTTTAATTACCATAAGTTAAACTTTTTTAAATGATGATGAACTAATATATCAAGTAAAACAAAAACATAATGAATCCAGAGGCCTTAGAACCCTCCCCCACTAATTCGATCTACGAGACCAGGTAGTGATAATCTCTTATGATGTAGCTCGAAGACGAAAACATTAATCTACACATGGTAAATTAGTTACATTGGCTAATCAATATGAAAGGGTAGGATAATGACTAAGTGTATCTGGACCACTATTACTGATTTTCTAAAGGGAACGTAACTCAATATCAACCTTATTCTCAGTGGTTCGTCAACTGATGTGAATAAAAGAAAAAATTGTTAAAAACCACCATAAAACCGCCTGAATATGTGAATGACCTCAATTATTTTTATAATTAATTGAACAGAAGAACACATATACCGATACAAATGCATATATATATATATATATATATATATATATATATATATATATATATATATATATATATATATCTGAGAATTCGTGAGGTGATAACAAACAAGAAAAAAGACAAATGATAGAAGAGAAATGAAAAATAAGGTATCATCCGATTATAAAATGAACATATTCTATAAATTACTTGATATTGATTGGAACAGAGTCAAAAGAAATGAAAGAAAGGTATCGATTCTGAAAATTATTCTGATAGAAACAAATATGACTGATAAAGCAAAAATGTTCTGTATGAAAGATAATCAATTATAAGCACATACAAAAGTGTTTACAACGGAAGCCTGATACCTAAAGAACTTGATATTTAACCACTCGTTCATAGGTTCAATCAAACCTCATTCCATCAATTTCAGTTGAGAAAATCGAGCGGTATCATTAGCCCCCACAGAAATATAATAAGTCAAGTACATAGTAGTACATAGTATACACCTTTGGTGGAGTTTTGTTCTCTGAGCTGGATGGATGGACCAAACCATCCAGCTCAGAGAACAAAACTCCACCAAAATCATCCACCTGAGCTACAAATCTTCTCCACCATCTCATAGTATACACCTGTACATAGTGATAGATATCAAATTATTTAAAACCATGAAAGAAAACATTTTTCGAACGCTAAGATGAGTCGTCTCCTCATATCAAATCACATGAAAAGTCAATTGAGAACACTAGACCATCATGTTATGAAAATGAGTGATGAACGTATTAAATGTTCACTTCTTTCCAAGTTCTGCGTAACACGTAAATCGATGCGATTTCATGTTAGTTTATTTTGTTTACATTAGGGTTAAACAAACAACCTCATCAATTTATTGAATAGGCGAGCCAATGAAGTAAGAATGCTAAAATGTGTGAAGATTTATACTGTTGAATTTCTCATATGGTTGTCACATAATTTCATCTCGCTATACTTCGACGAATTTACTCATAAAGCTTTTGTACATCATGATAAATTTCCGATAAAAACAGTTATGGTTATGAGGAAAATTCAGTAAAAAAACCTTTCGTGTGAATCTATTATCACTCGGATAAATGATATTCAGATGGAAAACCGATAATAAGCCAAGAAAAACTAATAAAAATTACAGAACAAAGAGTTTTACGTATGTCATTACTTCTGCGGTGAAATACTTTCGATTTATATAGACTCTGTGATCATTAACTGAAAATTGGCTTCTAAATCATAAAGTTATTATTGACTTGACCTTATAGTTTAGTTACACCTGATTAGTTTATGAAGAGGTGTTTAAGATCAAACTCTACTTCGTCTAATTCGGTTTGGAAATCCACGCTAATAAAACCAGTTCCCGACCTTCCTGAATGAAAGTACGTTTTTGTCCACTCAACATCAAGTTACGCTTACTTAATGAATCCTAGTAATATTTTTTTTCTGATTCATTTGCACAATATATAAATACATATATAATCTAACAGCGCAGTATACGTTAAGGAGGAGTTCGTTCCATGAATCATACGTCTGAAAGCTCTTTCATCAAATAATTCGCTTCTTGATAGAATCCCACTCATAAAATGTTAAAGATTACAAATAGAAATTCAACCAAAGTGTATCATAGTTGACTACGTAATTAACACTGATCTATTGTATTAATCGAATCTATGTAATAATAATAATAATAATAATAATAATAATAATAATAATAATAATAATAATAATAATAACGATAATAATAATGTATTATCCTATTTAATCGTAACCGTAGCACTGATGAAATAATTTTAATCATTAAATTTAAATAGAAACGGGAAAGAAACCTGATGATGATGACGATGATTAATATAATAATACCTGGCTCGACAAAATAACCCAGCTGGTAAAATGGATAACCAGTTCTAGTGATGATTATAACGATTCGACAAGATAAACTTAAGTACAACGAAATTCTGCCCAAACAGTCAAAAATTATCATGGGAATTTTTCGCAACTAGAATAGCAAGATACAATTCTTCTTGAAAAAAAAGTGTGCATTAAAGGTTAACACTGTAAGGTGTTTAGACATGGAAAATAAAATGATGAAAGACTAAATAAGCAGATGAATTTGAGACATGTCAAAGACATGAATTCTTGGGGCCTTAAACATTTTTAAACACTCACAAATATTGATTTCTGATGTTTGAACAGATTAATCCACGAGAACTTACAGCTTTCTGCATAATTAAGACCAATAGGTAATGATTTTATAAATTGATGCTATATCTTGATTGATTTATAAGTTTAACCATCTCCATTTCAATTGACACGAAAATAACTGGTTTACAGTGGTTTACATTGTGTAACACCATCAGAGTCGATAAAATTTTAAAACTTAGGTCCAAGATTTCATGCCGATCGCTTCCAATCATCTGACATCAAAACAATGTGCATACAACGTTGAGTTACTCATAATTAGTAGACACAATATAGAGTTATATTGTACAATAACCCTTTGACAGTCATTCGAGTATATGAGGTACCACAGACAGTGTATGCTGAGAAAGATCACTCACATTTTGTATTAAATTATGATATTTTACTAATAACAATCTGAAAAAAATGACAACAACAGCAATAACCTCTACAAACCCAAAATTGGTTTTGATCACATGACAGTGTCAGTTGACCACTTACTGAAAAATTGAAGAACGACAAAACTTTTGACATTTCGAATAAATAATTTACCAAGTACATGTTTCAGTACTCGGCTTTAAAGCCAAACTGTTTGCGAGAAGGCTAATAACACTACCCAGGCGGTCCAAACCCAAGTAGGTGTTGATGACATGTGACTGGAGGTAATCGGCAGGAAACCTTAGACCTAGGGATTCTTGATGGTTGGTACTCGTTAGCAAGATATACCTGTAATCGTCAGAGAACTGATGCTTTCTAAAAGGATTCGAACCCATTTCCCTCAGTTTTACTGCTTGAAACGTTACCACTGAATTATTTGGGCTGCACCTAAACGCCAAAAAGGTGCTGCAGAGTTCAAATTTGCAATCTAATGGTTGAAAGTCGCCAGATATTAATACATAAACACACAAAATCTCTACAAATGACGTTATTAAGACGAAATAAAACGACAGATTATGTTTTGGTGTTCATTTAGTATAACATGAAGTATTCTTTATGTATTAATTCATCTCCACCACTTTAGATAAGTGTAGTATTTATTGACTGATTACCAAGCACCACTAAAAATATATATATATCTAAATGCGTATTTAATTAAAGCTATTGTCGTGTTTCTGAAGTGTAAATAAGATTTCCATTATTCATCAATTTTTGTCTTCTTGCTTGAATTGTGAGAAAAAAAATCACTTCCCCCTATTGCCAGTATCAGTTTTCTCAGTTATAACAGAAATGTGCAAATCAGCACTGGCTTTAACTTGACTTTCACTATTCAATTAAGTGTCACCAGCCTAATGACCCATTCACAGATGGAATTACATTTCATTAATTTTAAAATGTTTCTTTGATGGAATGAGTTATTACCAAATACGTACATATTTTTTTTACTACTGGAAAAAAAACATGTACATCTTATTATTGCAAAGGGCGATGATGAATGAACACTGTGAACGAGCCGAGAAATAAAACTAAAAATTAATTTTCCATATTTGTTAGTTTTGAATATTGTAGATGTAAGTAATTTTCAATATTTACTCAACTTGTATACATACATAGATGCATAAATTTGTTGATCTGTTATGAAAGAAATAATAATTAATTCAGTGTCAACTTGAAATCAAATAAAAACCGAAATAACTTTTTTAAAACTCAAAGAAACTGAAAATCATCAAAATATAGGAAATACTTTATCACCAGCCGACAATTTAAAAACAGTCGAAATGAATCAAGGGCAAAACATCTGTTTTGGAATAGATGAAGACACCTTGACAATCTTTATCCATGGTCTTACACTGGACCAGAACAAGGATACTTATATCTTGCAGCGAGCACGATACCATTGATCTGTAAAGCTGTGACTTTTTGGAGCCAATTAAGTCAAGAGTGAATCATTTACACTGATGAAACTGAATAAGGATATCACTTTATCACAAATCGGCTAGAGTTTTGGAATGTTAGTATTAAATTCTGATCAAGCTTGTTGAGACACCGAAATGGCTTCGACTAAGTCTTAGATTTGAGTGTTTACTGGCTGCATTTCCAAACCAGAGTGAAAACATCATTTAACTGTGTTACTTAGATTTAAACAGCTCTGGAGATAGTGTCAAATTAAAATAAAAATAAACTTTAAAATATAAAATCATCAAAGAAAAACTACTTAAATTAATTTGTTTATTACCTTGAGTGAATCCAAAAGATATTGAAATATGAGTAAAGGAAAATCACAAGGATCCCACAATTTATGATTATCTAAATGCCTACAAAAAATATTTAAAAACAACAATCATCGGTACATAAATTCGTTTATTTTCAATAAATAAAAAAGTATTTTAGCATGAATTTCATTCGAACGAAGATAGTAATTTATTAAATATTGACATAATTCTTAACCTGTCAGTAACTAAACTATGTTAAATAAATGGATATTTACCAAACCTAAAAACGAACTCCAATCAAATCGATAGCAAAAAACTTCAAGTACAGAATAATGGACCAATTTTATATAATTATAGAATCAACCATACAAATACACGGCGAAGATCCACTTAGGTGATGGATTGATTTAGTGATCATGTCGTAATCAAATTTAGCCATGAAAGTCATCAAATAGTCGATAAAGATTATACGAATAATCGGTAATAAATGTCCCTAAGAATGAACGTTAACACTTCATAGTTTTCAATCTTAGAACTCAAATCAGGCTATTAGTAAGTTGAGGTACACCCAGAGAACAGAGCGAAGACGGCACTTTTTATTCCGACTGTGTTATACGAATTTCAAACAATACTCTTCGGACTAACTACTGCCCCTGCAACCTTTCAAACACTCATGCAACTAATCCTGAAGGATTTAGTCTCAAAGGTGTGCATGGTTTATCTAGATGATATTGTTGTTTCCAGCAACAACGTCGAGGGACATATTCACCGTCTTCAGCTAGTGTTACAGTGACTTAGTGATGTTAGTTTAAAGGCTCATCCTAGTAAATGCAACCTACTGCATAAGGAATTAACCTTTTCGGATCACCTGATCGAAACTGACGGTGTTTGCAGTGGTCTGGAAAAAGTAAACTGCCAAACAACGCCCATAAATACTTCGTTTTCCAACGCTTTCCTATGATTTACGTTTCAGGTAGCCTTTTCGCACTGTTGCGAACAGCTCGAAATAGTGGGCTTTTTTCACTATATGTGGCTAGTATATGCACACACTCCATATTACCGATTCCTGAGAGAGAGATAGAAAGAATGTCGGATACTTTACAACGGGAAGTCTTCATGCGGTCTGACTGATAGTCGTGATGAAGATCTGCATTTCTATGTTGGTGCCCCGGTTGGTCGATACACTACTAATCAAAGTCCTGCAGATATTCTTGCCAACGTGCCGTCTGCCCTTCCGGGTCTTTGGAATACTGCAGCCACTGGAGAGCTTTGTGACCGGTTCTTAGTATAAAGTGTCTGCCGAGAAAATATGGTCTGTATTTCCGTATGAATTTCATAACCGCTAACATAGCTTTTCCTGTAACACAGTAATTCCTTTCAGATAGATTCAATGTGACTTCTATGCTCAATAACATCCTCCTTGCCATCAGGTCCAACCTGGAACAAGATCATTCCAATTCCTATTTCACTTGCGTTTGTATCTAAGAAGTACCTACCAGAATAAACCGAAGTGTGCGGCAGTACTAAGCACCCAAATGCCCTGGTACGGCCAAGAGTTCGCTCTCCCTCTCCGAATGCTCTCACATGGTCACGTGTATGCAGCCACTGACAGGGAAGTCCCACTCATTCCCTTCTCGTGGTGTGGGTGTTGTTTACGAAAAGTGAATGTCCGGCGCATTAACCGGGTTGGTGGATATAGAGGATCCAACTAGAGGAGTTACAAAACCCTGATTCCAAACCAATGGTGCACATTGGCTCCAGCATCCTGAGGGAACAAATGGTGTGTGAACCAATCGTTGGTCCCTGGCTACCATGGGACTGTATCTCCTTACGTTGCTCCACTGCCTTGTGGATTAGGCCTTTAGGTCAAAGGTTCGGGGTGTGACCTCTTAAGGAAACCACCTGCTTTGGTCTGGGTACTTGGGGAGTATCACAGCCCATACACAATCATGTGACTTGTGTCGCATATGTATTCGGTGCCCATTGTACAAATATTAATGTGTTCAAATAAATAAGTTTTAATACGGGTGCTGAACAGAGCGCGTCTTTTAGAAAACCGAATGCGTTGTTGCAACTTCTCGACCACTCAAACTCTATTTATTTATCTTTTAAACGCATGAGGAAGCTAGCTATTCCTTCACGACGTTTTATGAAACATCTGTAATAATCCGCTAAACCAAAAACACTATGTACTGCATCAGGTAACATTGTTACTAGCCAATTCTTTATGGCAGTCACGTTTTCCGAACCACTGCAAACACCGTCAGTTTCGATCAGGTGATCCGAAAAGGTTAATTCCTTATGCAGTAGGTTGCATTTACTAGGATGAGCCTTTAAACTAACATCACTAAGTCACTGTAACACTAGCTGAAGACGGTGAATATGTCCCTCGACGTTGTTGCTGGAAACAACAATATCATCTAGATAAACCATGCACACCTTTGAGACTAAATCCTTCAGGATTAGTTGCATGAGTGTTTGAAAGGTTGCAGGGGCAGTAGTTAGTCCGAAGAGTATTGTTTGAAATTCGTATAACACAGTCGGAATAAAAAGTGCCGTCTTCGCTCTGTTCTCTGGGTGTACCTCAACCTGCCAATAGCCTGATGCGAAGTTCAAGGTTGGGAACCATAAGGCGCCCACCAGCCCCTCCAATGATTAGAAAATTAAGCGAAGACGCTTAAAAAATGTTATTATTCCCAGCATATGACTATTGTTAATTTTATTCGATTCTTTTCTAAATGAATCCGAGACGAACAACTCGATATAATAAGGGTTTTTCTCAGGATTTCGGCTTGTTTTTAATGCCCATCCGATATAAAGCCAATATATGACTATTAGTGGGTCAGGAATTGCATGGAAACGAAAACTTATGTTGTTTTTATAAAATATAATTTTTTAATAAGTGAATATGCCAAACACGTCAAGGTAATTTAGTTGACAGTCAGCGACCTAATAACTTAATAATGTCTTTGTTTTGGTGTCATTATTAGCATTTTCTCGACAGAGACGCATAACTTAATTCACTTTGAATAGGATTGTACAGCTTTAGTAAATGATATAGACGAAAAGAAAATTTTCTTCGATGAACAAACCAACGTACTGATGATCTGTATAAACATAACAGTCCGTTAGTTGCGAAAGACACCTGATTTTTGAATTACTAAATATCAAAATATTTGTATGACTAGTTGTGCTTTCCATCTAAGATTATTTACATGACGAGCCAAAGCTTTTTCATACTTATATGTCCGGTTGGCTACAAATACCTATTTAATTTATGTATGCATGGTTTGTATCAATTTTAGCTGTCGAACATGACAGAAATATTAGTGATCATATTATATTACAGACTTGATCGCTACCTGGATTAAATATCACAATTTAATCAAAAAAGGTGACAAAAGGGAGCCTTACATCTCGTTTAGACGTTAATCAGCTAAAATTATTCAGGATTATTAGTATAAACATATATATGGGGGGGGGGGTAAAAAGGCATCCAATAACATAACAAGATTCATTGGAACAAGTCTTCTAAGTAATTCAATTAATAAGTATATAATACAATGAACTAGGACGTTATATACCCCCAAATCGTCCTTAATTGTCAGCCTGAGACATCTTGATAGATGTAGACAACTTGTTTGGGGCTCAAACGATTACTGAAGTCGGTTGCAATGCTCTAGATGCACTCACTCTTTATCCTGCCTCAGAATTTAAGTTCCAAAATTACTTTATCCTTTCAGTTTTGTAAATCGATTCTTTCTTCTCACGTGTTATTCTCTGTGCCTAGTCTTTGTCTACTACTTCTATTACTCTGGAATTTGTTTAGAAAATTTTCTATCTCACTTTGTTGATTTAGCGTGTCAAATTAAACAGATGTACATATGTAGCAAGTTGTATGCTGCTTATAACTGAATAACTGACCACACCCTTTAAATTAATTGACTTGTTTTCTATTTGCCTGAAACTTAATTTTAACTTGTTTCTGTAATACCTTTTTAATTGCGACCTGGATGAACAGTACTTCTATCGTTTTTGAACTCTTTGTCATGTTGTGCCATTTAGTTGTCTAAGATTTTTAAAAAATTGTGTGCATGTTACCACATAAAAGCTATATCTCTGAATTCCAAACACATGCGGCTTTATTGAGTAGGGAAAAACTAGCTGCAAAAGTTATTTAAATATACAAAGCCAAATAATCATCTTGTTATTTATTCACATAGAAGAAACACAAACTTACGTTAAAATAGATGTCACCACAGGTTTAATATTTGTATAAGACGCTTGTCTAACAATATCTTCGAACACATATACAGCTTCTTGTGAAGGATCACATTGTGATTCATTTGAATTGGAATCTAGTTCAGACCTAGGGAACAAGAATTTTCCAGAAGAAAAAAGCGATTAAATTAAAACCTCATTTATAATAGTGACTAATATCTTTTAAAAGTATTGCAATATAACCTGTGATATAATCATGGATTACGAAGACATATATATATATATATATATATATATATATATATATATATATATATATATATATATATATATATATATATATATATATATATATTGAAGCCCAAAAACTATGGATGAAATAGTTATTCAGTGCTACTTCATTACCAAACAATCATCATGGGATGATGTTAGTTCATCATAATGAAAACGAATGAATGCCACACTTCGGTTTCCCAAGATCTCTAGTCGACCTGAATGGAAAGTTAATGTAGGTCCTCCGACTCTTCACGAAGTTGAAAAAGCTATAGGAAATCTGAAGTGTGGGAGAGCAGCAGGCCCTGACAGGTTCACCCCTGAGATTTTTAAGGATGGTGGTTCAGTAATAGCAGTGAGATTGACTGAGGTCTTAGGTAGGATTTGGGAACTGGATGGACCAACGATTGGTTCACACACCATTTGTTCCCTCAGGATGCTGGAGCCAATGTGCACCATTGGTTTGGAATCAGGGTTTTGTAACTCCCCTAGTTGGATCCTCTATATCCATCAACCCGGTTAATGCGCCGGACATTCACTTTTCGTAAACAACACCCACATCACGAGAAGGGAATGAGTGGGACTTCCCTGTCAGTGGCTGCATACACGTGACCATGTGAGAGCATTCGGAGAGGGAGAGCGAACTCTTGGCCGTACCAGGGCATTTGGGGGCATCGCATATCAAGTAGAACAACCAGAAGTTCAGATCGACAAAATTGAAATGTCCTAAGATAAGATAGTGGTTTGAGGTATTCAACAGGAAACCCTGGACCTAGGTTTCGTGATACTTAGTACTCGTCAGCAAGGTGTACATGTTATCTTGAGGGAACTGATGCTCCCTGACGGATTTGATCCCATGTCGTCCAAATTCACATTCAGAGACTATAAGATTCGATCTGCACTAAGGGCTAGACATAAATGACATTGATCACCACTCAGTGATCAATCAATTGTAAATTGAAATGTTCTAATTAATAATCTGATTTAACTGGAAACTTGACTTCAACCGCTAAATTATTTGAATAGATCTTGCTCCTGACTGACTCCGACCCTTTTGACTTCGACCAAAGTTGAAAGGTTTACATTAAGACATTGTGGTCAGACGAACAACTTTTTAATGTTCTGTTTATCAGTAAACTTAATGTGACTGAGGTCAAATCACTGAAGCAATGTTTTGAGGTCTTAGTTGTGGTTTTTTTAATATTTCGATACAATCTACTTGTAATTTCCAGAAATATTTTCTTAATCATTTTCGCTTTCAAAATCAACACACGTACACTCAGCTTCCATTTGAGCTTAGTTCGCTCTGTATAGTACTCGGAAACAACTGCGCTTCGAACATAAACAGTTTGGATTAAACGACTGGCTATTCTATTATGGCACTGATAGCTTTTAGACCGAATTTGGAACCGAACATTAATGTATGCTACGTAGCTACGATACCGCTAATACTGATCGATGCATAAACTTCTAACTCTTTGGTCAGAAACATGGACTATATAAACCCAATGGCAAGAAATTGACTACAACATTTACTTTTGACCAGATCACTGTGAGAATTATAAGGATATGAAACACTTTAAGGGCTGAAACTTATAGGATCACAGAGTGTGTAATTACAACATCTATAGAAAGCCTAAGAAAGGGGTCGTTTACGACTAATATGTAACTTAACAGTTGAATCCACGAGCTGACTTGAGTTAGACCATTCTGGAAAACCTGGAAGCACTGGACGGCCGTTTCGTCCCAGTATGGAACTCCTCGGTAGTGAGCATTCCCGATCCCGCACACGGGACCCGAACCCAAGACCTTTGACCCTGCACGCGGATGCTTAGCCCTTAGGCCACTGAGCCGGCATCTAATGGTGTTAGTGTCTGAATTCAATCAGTCCATGATATTGCGCGACCGTCCACCCTTGTCTTCAGTGAGTGACTGAATCACAACAAACACGGTCGAACTCCACTGATCACGGCCGTCCACTGCTTCCAGGTTTTCCAGGGTGGCCTAGCTTAAACCAACTCATCAATCTAACTGTCAAATTACTACAATTTCCACAAACCCTCATTCTGATAATAATACGTAAGTATAAGTTTTACTTTCGTAAGTTAATCTTATATGCATTAAGATTAAGTATTGAAATAAATGCCCGGGATTCGAAAAATCGTGTTCGATAAACTGTTTCATAAAGAGTCAATAGAGGGTCAAGCTCTCAAATTTTAAATAGTAGTCAGACAATTTGCTTTGATATCTTACTTGTCACACATATTGAATAGGAGTGGAAGTACGATTTTGTCCATATTCGACTCGTGAACTTCTAGTATCAGTTGATCACTGACCATTTTACGAACAACGCCTTGGATTCCTTGTATACCTGCCACTCTGACACTGGAAGCACTTGAGAAAATCAATGGACACTTACACATTACGCTCTTGTGGGTTGGGAAAAGATGCGTGAGCCATAGCAGCAAAATGGTCAAGAATCTCATTACATTCCTTGTGATAGTTGGGAGAATCATCGTCTATCTTAGAAAACTCTACAAACTTCACCCAAATTAACCAAAAAGGATTGGTGACTTGCCGACTTAGACGCCATTATTTGTAGGTCCGTGCGATTAGTCTCCAGAAGTAGTTGAATCATTTTCAAGAAACTAATGGCCAAAACTAGTCTGTGACCATGACAAACTTGTATTAGTTTGTCAATAGCTTTGACGGATATCGATATATTTCTTGGGGAAATAAACATCAAACAAGCTTACTGATCATAACGCCTATTGAGATCCTGTGAGAGTCTCAGGTGCAAATACTTGGCAATTCGATCCAGCTTATCAGGTTGGTGTAAGCAATAATGTATAAGTTTATTATGGTTATTAGTATCCTAAAAATTCGCGACATACACAAACAACATTTCAAACGAACCTGAGGGCTACCAGAATACAAATTATCAACCATTTTCATCCATTTTGGTCTGCATGGCCCACACTTAAAACACGTTGATCGTACACCTAGTACATCCCTTGAATTAAACGCGAAATAATACAGAAACCTTACATAACATTCCAAAACACTGCAACGCATCAATTCGTAAAAGTCACACACTGAAATTCAACCTTTGAACAATAAAACAGAATTGCACAAATGTAATATGGGAAAGACTAATAGCATAATAGTACAAATCCTCAGTATTCGCGATTCCTTCACAATTGATTTTCGACGGTTTTAGTTACTGACACATGAAGACACCATACTGTGATGTATGGGTCAAATGCCTATGGTTCAGTACCACAATTTTTAGGTTTGTGGTAACCTTACAACAGCTTAAAAACAACGGAAATTTATCAAAACCTTTCTGTTCACCTAAAAAGTACGTGCACTTGGTTCAGCAACGACAGAAAGTCATAAGGAAGAATTATCCGGATTAAGATGTTTGAAAATTTACAGAGGCTTCAACTTTGCTGAACCTATTCAGGGTGAAAAATTGGACAAACCTCTCAGCCAAAACTTTGTACCTCACGCTTTTGAATCCATGCTGGAGCGGATCTGTCTGACTGGGTACATATTGCACGACTTACCTCATCTATGTGTTCGAGAAATTGTCAAGATGATCTCATAATGATTTTTCGGACCTGGAACAAATAAATTAGTAAGGGAATTGGTATGATCTTATATGAACTATAAAAACCCGAAAGTAGTCAGACAATTAAGTTTTTGAGGCCTTCACCAAGTTTTTGATAGTAGAACATTGACATAGATCAAAGCCCCTTTCCACAAAGGCTTATTTCAACCAAACTACTTTATGACGTCGTTCGACCACCTACTCCAGCCTATAGGGTCGGCGAAATAACCCTAAACTGTACCCAAATTAGTCTGCCAAGCTGAACGCATTACAATCACGAAAAACTGGTTTCATGGACGGTAAATCTAATGATGACTAACACTTATTATTCGGTCTCTTGAGTGGAATGATACTTTTGGTAGCCTTGATGCCTGCGTTCTTTCTATGCTTTCCCCTACCCGTAAATTCAGTGTTGGCTAGAAAGCTTTTATTCGGTCTCTAGGTTTACTAAATAGCACGTAGCCAGGTCATGGGTTTAGAGGACTGAGTTAAACAGGAGTTCTTTTAGTGGTATCGGTTCCTAACCACATGATCTTTGATGCCGAGCATATAATTACTAAGAGGATTTACATTCACCAGGTAACACTTAAAGAAAGTCAAAAATGGTGGACGCGGGAACAATTGATCGGTGTAGCATGGCTTAGGCTTGCAGGCGTCGCCAAATGTGTAACTGATCCCTAATCATATTAAGATATATTGTCTTATCCCCAACCAGAATGCGTTCTTCAGAAGTACTAAACACAGTATTGCTAACTCACGACACGATGAGTCTGAATAAACAATGATGTGACTTCAACGTAAGATATTATGGAATAGGTAGTCACGTCATGACAAATCTATAATTTTGGGACTGTGTATGAATATGTAACAATACTGAATTAGGTTAAATCCTACATCGGTGAAACCGACTGAAAGGACTTAGCCTTTTATTAGTTCTCATATTCACTTTAACTTAGTCTATTGATCTTTTCTTCAACGCATTATGTTATTAATTCGTTGATTAATGTTCATGTGTATTGTTGTATTGTAATGGTGATTAGTTATTATAGATTATGGGATCGATCGATGCCAATAACTGGTCATCTATATTCATATTTAGCCACTATGGTCTATTAACAGGTAGCAGCTGCGTTTACAACTAACCCTATAGTTCTGCTAGGGCTACTGCCGGTTCCAAGTTCGGGTTAAGGAGCAGGGTTGAACATAGGGTCAGCAACCCCATACCATGGAAAAAAACCTTGCCAAAAAACGCTAAGGGGGAAAAACAGTTTAAACTCTGCCCTCTGGGTTGAAGGACCTTCATTCAGAAGAACAATGTCGCCTCTTGTTGAAAGCCGAGAAGTTCTGAAAATCACGAGACCTATAATCATTCTAACAACCAGAGCAACAATTGATATATTTACATGGAACGTTCAGGCAGTGTGGGAGTCTGGGAGGACTAATCATATAGCAACGGAAATGGGAAGATGCAATTTGACGGTTCTCGGAATCAGCGAAACACATTGAACCCAAGCTGCACACCAAGGGTTATTTCGTTTTCTACCTCATGCTAAACGCAAAACTTGAAACTAACCTGTATGTACCATGAACCGATAGGTATGAATATAAATAACCAGCTTTTTCGCACCAAATAATTGATTCTAGAGCACGTCTTTCACGGTTGCACTAGTGCTCAACGAACTGCTTTTAGCTATCTGTCCAAAATTTATATAACTATAGCTATTTTCACGTAATAAAAGCATTTTCGATAACAATTCATATATATAATTAGTTTTATTAAATATTGTCATGAAAGCACGTTCACATAACCTCCCGATTACTTTATCTAATGTATTACTCTCTTTCCAGCTCAAATATGTTCTTGAAAGGTGTTACTAGTCATATTGCGCATTATCACGATAGGACGAGTCATTGTAGATAATGCCGTGACTTCAACGTTGGATTTCATATAAGGACAAATCTATGATTTTGGGTTAGTTATATTATTAAAGCAGTATTATTACCGAAGTAGACGGTAATTCTACTGAGACAATGAAAGTCATGGTGACTCCGTCTTCGGAATTGATTTCCACCCTAAATGTTTTTTTCTAACAACAGATGTCCTAGAATAAGTTGTGTAGCCTAATCGTACAGAAAATTTTTTGTCTTAAAATACTGTGACATTGTTGTATTTTCCAATACAACAACAGTTTTTTCTACCTGCATGGGCGATTGCTTTGGTGTCCTGATTAAAAGAATATAATGTGGCTCCATCGGTGTTTAAGAGTCACTATGTGTTGGTAACAAAATGTAAAGTAGAGACTTCGTAACCTGGAATGAAACGTATGTGTGACCAGTTTTCAGCTTTCTGTGGCCTTGTGTCGCTGTGTCATTTTTCTGGACGACTTCGCTTACCTCCAGAGTCTACCATGAGTGTTAGGATATCCAGTTAAATGTAGGTTTAAGAGAATTCTTGAACGAATGTGCATATATATGTGTTAAAATCCCCCAATCATTGTCTCCAAGTGGCAACACTTTTTGTTCTCGTATGTCATGTTTTTTCTCTGGCCCTCTACAATTATGTATATTATGTATTAAATTTTTCGATCTCTTTGCATTTATTTTATCTATTAAGTGCCTACAGATTCCGAAATCAACTTAATCATCGGTGTCGCATAGTTTTTAATAACTGTTTCACTTTTGTATTGTTTATCACTATTTTTGGAGGGCTAGTTAAGTTAAATTACTGTGCTTCCATTATGACAGTGTAAACTGACGGTCTCCTCATTCTATTACAAATACTGGAGCGCATTCCCTGTTTGTTTTGGTAACTTATACAAGTGATAACTTCTAACTGGTTGTATTTCATGTATGATTATCATTTTATGGCCGATCGCCCATCATCGGAAGAGAAAGGATCAACCTATGTTTTTCTTTGTGTAGGATATCATTCCTTGATTGATAGGAACATTCTTCCTGTTGTAACAGCTAGGCTTAACCAGACATCTAAACCCACTGAAAGTGAATTTTCCAGAGAGATTTAGTTAAATGTGTACGTTCATTTTTAAATAGTGTCTATTCTTCATCTAACTGATCGTTCGTCATTTTATTATAGGACGGTTCCTGACCATCATCTTATTTTGATGTATTTGAACCAATAGGAAAGTGGTTACGAGCACTAGTGTCACGGATCCTCCGAAACTCGAGAAATTCTGAATTTAGCAGCAGGGTACAAACAAATACAAGAACACAAAGTTAATATTGAACAAATGGAATAATTTGAGGAGTTCACAAGATAGTTTTTAATAGATATTTGACTACATCACTGTGACCAAAGTCTTGTTTGATCATTAGAAGGAATATTTTGATGTAGTGTTTATTGTGTATGATTTCGGGTTTTACTGACACTCCTTTTGTTCTCATAGTGTTGCAAGGTTCACAAACACAAGTGTGTAAATGCGTCAGCTCATTTTTCTAAACTCTCTCAATGTATAATATTACACACATAGCAACGTCACAAAATAAGTGTTGACAATATTAACACTGGACACATACATCTCAACCTGATTTGGTTTATTTTCTCAGAAATCAAAACAAAGTAGCAATAAATCAGATACCGTCAGTGTTTATTTCTCACCGATAATATCGATGACTATTTTCGTTTGATCGCGTTCTATTCCATCTGTTAAGAAACAGATATTGGTCAACGGAATGGCCATTATTTTTCTGCAGTTAACCGAGAAAACTGTGGGATTTAATTTGTCCTACATATATATACTACTAGAACTGCAAACGCGATACTGGTGATCCCAGAATTCATGTGAAATCTATAGTCAGAACAAGGGCAACTTGGCTTTGAACTTTATCTGTTTCTAAACGTAAAGACGATTAGATTCTCATACCAACTAGTGTTGCATGTTTTATCGAAATGAACAAAACTTATGAGTCACATCAATACGATGGGATAATAATATCCATACAACAGGGATAGTCTAGAGACACACTAGACCAGATTGACGTAGTGAGCGCTTAAACAACGATTTGATTGGTTAGTTTCGGACATAACTAACATCTCCAGGAAACAGACACCACGTTCATGCCTCACTGCTATTGCCTCCATATGATCGGCTGATCTCTTCGGCTGCTGTCTTCGGTCAAATTGTACTGACTGATCCATCCAGATCATAATTGACCTGTCTAACTATAGCTCACGGCCACAGATTTCTATTTGAGCCAGTATTGCTTTCTAACACTAGATTTTCTAGTTGTAGATTTCTCCTCATGTCCAACCACTTGGATCTCTCCTGAACAGTTGATAGGTACTCCCGTAGCCTTCTGTTTCAGAATGTTGTCTAGTTGTTGCTCTCCCTTTCATCTTCTGTTGTATATACGTTTTCTTATCTGCGCTTCGTCAAACAGTACACTTCTGTGAACTAACAATAACTTATTTTGTGTAAGTATAGCCAAATTATCACGGTCATTAACTAGCTATACGAGTGGCCTCTATTAAAAACGCCTTCAAATGATCGTC